CATAGTCTTTCTCTGGCTTGGGAACCCCACATTTGAAACATGGTTTCTTGACTTCGCATGTCAAACACACACGGAAAAAACTACATTGCCGTTGCCGATGTTTCTCTGGAAAATTGTTTTCGACATGCCACAGCTTGCACACGTTGCATTTCCTCATCTCCTTCTCCGTCACTGCAATGATGGAAGTTGGTAGCTGGGGTAGCTATCCCAATAGTAGCCGAACTCTTTAGGTTGATGAATTCATACAGATCCCCATCTACCCAGTACTCAATAGCCCGCCAAAAAAAATGCCATGCTACCGTAGTAGATCTCATACCAGATTCCAACGATTCCTACAGTGATGTTCAAAAGGAAAAGAGCTTCCTATAATGAAGCCTTGGCAGAAACACAGACAATCAGAAGGGTTTGTTGGTGATATCCATCAAAAAAAATGTCTTGGAGGGCTACACCACCCTTTGATGGAAAACAGCTCTCAGTGATGGGTGCAAAAGGTCATTGATGCATCTCAGTTTATGGATTTTACTGATAATGGCAAAAATAGGTTTTTTCACAGAAAGAGGCCGCCATGACCCTCTCTCTATCTCTCTACGGGCTTGGAAGCTAGAAGAAGTCATTCATATGTGTTGATGCACTCTTTCAGCTGCCAAGCTGCCCAATATATATGAGATGATAAAATGTGCTGTTGCATGTAATGTCGACTAATGCATTGAATCAGTTTCGTCTTTTCATTGATGCTTTGATAAAATGTGATCTTGAATGTCATGTCGCATAATGCATTGAATCAGTTTGGTCTTTTCATTGATGCTTTGATATGAGTTCATATCCTTTTAAGAGGCACTCCCATAAGCAAAAGTCCACAACATGGCGCCGTTGCAACAGCTTTGTGTTCGTCCAAACTTGCATTCACGCTTCAGATCGCTTCAGTACAGAGGCTTAATTGGAGTTTCTGCCCAATATGCTTACGACGCAGAGGCAGGCATGACCCTCCAGTGTGGTACCATGGTCACTTGTGACCCTATTATCCGGTCACTTGTGACCCTATTCTACCCGCTCACTTGCGACCCTATTATCTGGTCACCTGCGACCCTATCCCTTTAATAACTCTCACCCCCCCCCGCGTTCCACCATACAATGGTCTCCATTCTACTTCTTTATTTGAACTTCCCCCCTGCGTTCCACTAAACCATGGTCTCTATTCTGCTTCTTTATTTGAACTTCCCCCTCCTGCGTTCCACTAAACCATGGTCTCTCTTCTACTTCTTAGTTTGAACTTCCCCCCCCTGCGTTCCACTAAACCATGGTTTCTATTCTGCTTCTTTATTTGAACTTCCCCCTCCTGCGTTCCACTAAACCATGGTCTCTCTTCTACTTCTTTATTTAAACTTCCCCCCCCTGCGTTCCACTAAACCATTGTCTCCATTTGACTTCTTGATTTAAACTTCCCCCCCGCGTTCCACCAAACCATGGTCTCTATTCTACTTCTTTATTTAAACTTCCCCCCCCGCGTTCCACTATACCATTGTCTCCATTCTACTTCTTTATTTAAACTTCCATTCTACTTCTTTATTTAAACTTCCTCCCCCTGCGTTCCACTAAACCATTGTCTCCATTCTACTTCTTTATTTAAACTTCCCCCCTCCTGCGTTCCACCATACAATGGTCTCCAGTCTACTTCTTTATTTAAACTACCCCCCTCCTGCGTTCCAACAAACCATGGTCTCCATTCTACTTCTTTATTTAAACTTCCCCCCCCTGTGTTCCACTAAACCATTGTCTCCATTCTACTTCTTTGTTTAAACTTCCCCCCCCTGCGTTCCACTAAACCATTGTCTCCATTCTACTTCTTTATTTAAACTTCCCGCCCTGCGTTTCACTAAACCATGGTCTCTATTCTACTTCTTTATTTAAACTTCCCCCGCCTGCGTTCCACTATTTAAACCATTGTCTCCATTCTACTTCTTTATTTAAACTTCCCCCCTCCTGCGTTCCACCATACAATGGTCTCCATTCTACTTCTTTATTTAAACTACCCCCCTCCTGCGTTCCAACAAACCATGGTCTCCATTCTACTTCTTTATTTAAACTTCCCCCCCTGCGTTTCACTAACCATTGTCTCCATTCTACTTCTTTATTTAAACTTCCCCCCCTGCGTTGCACTATACCATTGTCTCCATTATACTTCTTTATTTAAACTTCCCCCCCCTGCGTTCCACTAAACCATGGTCTCTATTCTACGTCTTTATTTAAACTTCCCCCGCCCCCCGTGTTCCACTATACCATTGTCTACATTTTACTTCTTTATTTAAACTTCCCCCCCCCCTGCGTTCCACTAAACCATTGTCTCCATTCTACTTCTTTATTTAAACTTCCCCCCCCCCAGTGTTCCACTATACCATTGTCTCCATTCTACTTCTTTATTTAAACTACCATTCTACTTCTTTATTTAAACTTCCCCCCCCTGCGTTCCACTAAACCATTGTCTCCATTATACTTATTTATTTAAACTTCCCTACCCCCCCGCGTTCCACTAAACCATGGTCTCTATTCTACTTCTTTATTTAAACTTCCCCCCACCGTGTTCCACTATAGCATTGTCTACATTCTACTTCTTTATTTAAACTTCCATTCTACTTCTTTATTTAAACTTCCCCCCCCCTGCGTTCCACTAAACCATTGTCTCCATTCTAATTCTATATTTAAACTTTGTACTTCTTTATTTAAACTTCCCCCCCCTGCGTTCCACTAAACCATTGTCTCCATTCTACTTCTTTATTTAAGCTTCCCCCCTCCTGCGTTCCACTAAACCATTGTCTCCATTCTACTTCTTGAATAAAAAAAAATTAACCCCCCTCCTGCGTTCCACCAAACCATGGTCTCCATTCTACTTCTTTATTTAAACTTCCCCCCCCCTGCGTTCCTCTAAACCATTGTCTCCATTCTACTTCTTTATTTAAACTTCCCCCCCTGCGTTCCACTAAACCATTGTCTCCATTCTACTTCTTTATTTAAACTTCCCCCCCTGCGTTCCACTAAACCATTGTCTCCATTATACTTCTTTATTTAAACTTCCCCCCCCTGCGTTCCACTAAACCATTGTCTCCATTCTACTTCTTTATTTAAACTTCCCCCCCCGTGTTCCACTATACCATTGTCTCCATTCTACTTCTTTATTTAAACTTCCATTCTACTTCTTTATTTAAACTTCCCCCCCCTGCGTTCCACTAAACCATTGTCTCCATTTTACTTCTTTATTTAAACTTCCCCACCCCTGCGTTCCACTAAACCATTGTCTCCATTCTACTTCTTTATTTAAACTTCCCCCCTCCTGCGTTCCACTAAACCATTGTCTCCATTCTACTTCTTTATTTAAACTTCCCCCCTCCTGCGTTCCACCATACAATGGTCTCCATTCTACTTCTTTATTTAAACTTCCCCCCCGTGTTCCACTAGACCATTGTCTCCATTGTACTTCTTTATTTAAACTACCATTCTACTTCTTTATTTAAACTTCCCCCCCCTGCGTTCCACTAAACCATTGTCTCCATTATACTTATTTATTTAAACTTCCGCCCCCTGCGTTTCACTAAACCATGGTCTCTATTCTACTTCTTTATTTAAACTTCCCCCCCCTGCGTTCCACTAAACCATTGTCTCCATTTTACTTCTTGATTTAAACTTCCTCTCCCCTGCGTTCCACCAAACCATGGTCTCCATTCTACTTCTTTATTTAAGCTTCCCCCCCTTGCGTTCCACTAAGCCATGGTCTCCATTCTACTTCTTTATTTAAACTTCCCCCCCTGCGTATCACTAAACCATTGTCTCCATTCTGTCTGTATAAAGACCGATAGATAGATAGATAGATAGATAGAGAGATGGATGGATGGATGGATGGATGGATGGATGGATGGATAGATAGATAGATAGATAGAGAGAGAGAGAGTGAGATAGATAGATCGATCGATCGATCGATAGATCGATAGATAGATAGATCGATCGATAGATAGGTAGATAGAGAGAGATAGAGAGATAGATAGATAGATAGATAGATCGATCGATCGATCGATAGATCGATAGATAGATAGATAGATCGATAGATAGAGATAGAGAGAGAGAGATAGAGAGATAGATAGATAGATAGATAGGTAGATAGATAGATAGATCGATAGATCGATAGATCGATAGATCGATAGATCGATAGATCGATAGATCGATAGATAGATAGATAGGGAGAGAGAGAGATAGATAGATAGATAGACAGATAGATAGATGGATAGATCGATAGATAGATAGATAGATCGATCGATAGATAGATAGATAGGTAGATAGATAGATAAATAAATAAATTTGCCATACCACATGACACTATCAATTTGCATGCACAAAAACAGGCCCAACCTCTGAACGTGCCTGGTCCTTTTTGAGCTGGGAATGCCACACATCCTTCACGATTGAAGATTCTACATGGGTAGCTAGTGCACACATCTTGCACTGCCAACACAACATGAAGTTCACATCGAACATTGACCCATGTCAGGCAACTCCCCTGACACTCCTGGTCCAGCAAGGTGGACGAATTGGAGATCGCGAATGTCTGTAGCGCAGGCTCCACTCAGGGTGGGTGGGTGAGGTGAGTGGAGTCAAGATGAACTTCTCATCATACAACTTCCCACCCACCCACCCTGAAATGAACTTGATAGCGGCGTTCATGTGACACACATTCACTTCACGTTCATGACAAGGACGCATGTTGCTGGCAACAATGAGTCTCTTGCCATACCACATGACACTATCAATTTGCATGCACAAAAACAGGCCCAACCTCTGAACGTGCCTGGTCCTTTTTGAGCTGGGAATGCCACACATCCTTCACGATTGAAGATTCTACATGGGTAGCTAGTGCACACATCTTGCACTGCCAACACAACATGAAGTTCACATCGAACATTGACCCATGTCAGGCAACTCCCCTCTTGTGCATACATGGGACAACAACTTTGTGGCTACAGCCATTTGGGTCGCATTCTGTTGAAACCTGCCTCCACAAGCTGTACAATTTCGAAACGCGATGGTTTATCAGCCACATTTGACAGCGACGGCACGCGCGACGTCCACATGAAGATCGACTTGCTTCTCACTAAATCCCAAAGATGTTGAAGCATTCGAGCATGAGTGAAGATAGGTGACCACATGGAAAGAAGGCTAGCTCTCGCAGCTTCATTGTCGATGAAAAGAAAGGCACGCCTTGCTACCAAAAAATCTTTGAGTAGATCAACTGCCATCACTGCAGCTAAAAGCTCCAGGCCAGCAATCACTTTCGGCGTGTTCACTTGAAGCTTTTCCAACACTTCCTTGGGCACACGCTCTGAGAGGAAGAACTTTTTGGTAGGAATGCCATCACGACACACCATGGCAACCATGCCAATGCCAGCCGTCCTGTCGTTGTCTTCCAGGCATGCATCTGTGAAGATAACTACTCTGACACTGCTTTGGTCAACTTTCAGGATTCGTGGACAATCTTCTGCTATGAAGCCCTTCGCCCATTGGAGCTCCTTCATCATGTCATCATCCAAGTTTGAGCCCGGCTTGGCCCCGGTAGCTCTGGAGTTGCAAGAGCGCATGAACAAGCTGATAGCTCTCCCAAAAGTCTGGCTTTCAGCAAACTGCAATCGACCACGCAAAGACGAGGCAGTAGCGGAGCTGAAGGCTCTGGAGCTTACAATCTCTGAGATTTCAAGCTGAATCTGGTTAACTCTCGACTCTTTGTTGCGCACTAAAACCAAGCCAGACTTGCTGGCACTCAGATCCACATCCACTCCTAGCACCGAGAAAATGGGAGACATAGGCTTTCGTTTTGCTTCTTTTACGGAGTATTTCCAGCCCACCAAATCCAGAAACTTCTCCGCCGTCATTTGCAAAGAGTCACCCATGGCAGCCAAATCAAACTGCGTGAAGTCATCGAAATAACACACCCAGGCAAGTGAAAATAAGCGAGCACCAATCATCTGCAAAGCTTTCGAAAACCTATTGAAGCAGTAAACTGAGGCCGAAACTCCAAATGGCAGCACCTGCGAAATGAAGAGAAAAGGCTCACCACTTGGATTCCTCACCTGCAAGACGCTTGCCCATAGCGATGACTGACGCACAAGCAGCTGCTTGTAGGCCGAGTCCAGGTCCAAGGTGCGACCAAGAATTCTCCTGGCCTCATCCAAGTTCAGGGAAGGATGAAGCTCGCCCTCTATGACTTGGCCATCACTGAGCGCTAAGCGAACAGTACCACTGTCATCCACTGCACCTGCGAATGTCCTTGCCAGAACTGCCACTCCATCGACTCCATCCAATTCCAAAAGGTAGCTTGCCGAGAAGCTCGAGTTCACCAAGCTGATCGACATATCATCTATGGGTCTAGTTTTGTCCGACTGCCTCAAGCCGAACCTCGGTGACACCACATAAAGTGGCCCTAGTTCTTTTCGCACTTGGGGCTCTGTCAAGGGCCCTTGGAGCCATCCTCTTTTCACCTCGTCCATGGTGATGTTCCACACCTCCTCCTGCAGGCTGACATCTGCTACACCTGAATCCTTCGCTGCAACCATCTTCCTGCTCCATCTCGAGGATTTCATGAGCTGGGTGTCATCCATGGCAGGAGGTTGTTGTTCAACAGGAGAAAAAAGGCCTGTTGCACCTGAAATCCCTGTCAAGGGGGCTCCCGACAGTTGCAAGTCTGCTAAACCATCATCGTGGACACCAGCATCACGGCACATCTCGGCCAAAAGAAGGCCTCTCTTGTCCTCAACCAAGGCTCTTCTATTTGCTGGCAGCTGGGCGTGCAGCTTTTCCTCTTCTTCTTGAAGTTCTACAGCTCTTTTGGCATAGTATTCCAAGGCTTTCTGCCGCTTGGTTGCCATTGCCGCTGGCCCTTCAGTGAGGACTTCAAAGATGTACATCTTGATGTCGTCTGTCACCGCTTCCGAAGAGTCAAACGGGTGACTCAACTTCAGTGCCTCTTCCACGAATTCCGCCTCTGTCCTCAGGATGGCGAGCTTCGCACACAACTTCATTGGGTTCTGGCCCTCATCATCAGCTCCTTGCCGCTTTTCACATGTGAGGGCTTTGGTGTGAGCGGGCACGCCAAAGAAGGCTGCTTCCTCAGAGGATAACAGCCGTGGCAGTTTGAGAGGCTTGGCAAAAGGCCAAGTCACGGTGAAGGTACTCTTGTATTCGGAAATCACCTCTGGCAGGCGGTTTCCACGTGGCTGTCGACCGGCAGCAGCCATCTTTGAAGGGGCTGGTCGAGAAGGGGCTTTCGGCAGAGGTACCACTTCCTGAACACCTGCATGCAAGGCTGCCTCTGAGGTGGCAGCTGCTATCCGCTCGCACAAGACAGGAGGGTACTCCGCTTCTTCTGCAGTATTGAACTTATACTTTTTGCCATCCTTGGTGACACCCCACGGCAGATGAGAGTGTTGCCCATCACATTCCATAGCCAAGAAGGTCAACCAGGGCGCGTTGGTGTAAAACGTAGACCACTTGTCACGCTTTCCCCCATGCATGCATTGTTGGAAAGTCACTGCACGCAGGTTGAATCGTTCAATGAGCTGCTTCATCCAACTCGTTTGCCACATCCAGGAACGAGTAGGGTTCTCCACAGAAACGTAGGCACCGGCAATGATTGCTTGGGACAACACTGTTGCAATGTTGGCATAGATGCGGTTGGCCAGGGTGACCCGCTTCAAGTCAGTGCCTTGCAATGTAGGTAGACCATGTGGGAATTGTGCATTCCGCAAAGGGGAGGGCTATGGAGGGCTCCTTCACTCCAAGGCGACGCACTGCTCTCTTGAGACGACGCTCCCTGGCCCGAGAACACGTTCCACATGGAGGCGCAGCATGCACATAGAAAACTCGACCCGGCTGCTTCAGAAGTGACAGCAAAAATTTTACCGCTTCTTCACTAGCAAGGTCTAAGGCCACTGTGGCATAGGCCTGTTTATGCTTGTTGGACTTCTGATCCACTGCCATTGCTCTAAAACCTTTGGCTGAAAGAGAGGCAGAAAGACGCGCGCAACCTGCGCAAAGCTCTATGGTGAAAACAGCATTCTTTGGAGCGCCGTCAAAGATGCTCCTGGTGACACTATCTGGCTCCTTCACGGATGGCGCAAAGGAGCCAAGTGAAGATCACTTGTGATTGCGCTGAGAGTGCACTGCCTGACATCCAGGACGAGTGCACAGGTGCCATCCTTTTGGGCAGCGCTGTCCAGGGGCCGCCTCGTTACAGCCATCCAAATTGTAGCTGTAGCAAATAGGCTCTCCCTGATCTGTCATGAGAGACTGCCCAACAAGCTCTGGGGGCATTTTCACCGTAGACTTGTAAGAGCGACCCATCATGCCTTTGCTTCCACGACCCAGGCCTTTGTTTCCCTTGCCTGTTGGTGGCTGTTTCGACGATCCACGACTTTTCAAATTGCGAACTTGCCCAGTGAGGTTCTCGATGGTGCGTTTCAACTTGGCAATGTCATCCGGCGAGTGCTTGGCTTTGTTGGCGGTCTCCGGTTCCAAGTCATCATGCTTTCGCTTGATGCCACTGCCTGACCCTGCTGGCAACGGAGCAAGGCGCAGTCGAATTTCCGCTGAAGTGATTGCACGATCCAGGATAGCTTCAAGGGGGGCCACACCACCACTGGGACGGATTCCTTCCCTGCTGTGCTTCATGAGGAATTTGAAGAGTTCCAAATCTGCCCTTTGGATTTGATCCAGACTGACCTTCTTGTAGCCATCGATTGGAAGTGCTGAGTAAGCTTCCAGCATAGTCCTGGACCAACGCTCCATTTTCTCATAGTCGATGATCCTAGCCTGATCCAAAGCCAGACTCCTGCGCTGCAAACAGTACTTCAAGTGCAAGTCAGAACTGGTGTCTGCAAGGGCTTCTTCCTTCTGTCTGACCTCTCGCACAACTCCATCTGCACCAGGTTTCCACAGAGGGTCATGGCGAATTCCAAGAAGCTCTTGATCTCGTTTTGTGCACTGTTCCCACCTGATGTACCGCAATTGGTTTTCTTCCAGCATATGGAATACCAAATCTACCAGGGAGTGTGAGGGTTCTAACTCCCCCACCAGCTCCAGCCCAGCAAGACGAACCTGCTGGTCCTTGTGCCTTGCTGCACGCTCTGCTTGAGCAAGTTTTCGAGGTTGCTCATCATCCTTGCGATCTACTCTCGACCTCAAGTCTGCATTGGCCAATGTGTAGCTCTCGAAGAAAAGGCGTCTAATGACTGGCACACGGTCCTCTGGGGGTGGCGCAGCTTCACACACTCTCTCTATAAGCGTCAGAAGCGGCTGGTCGTCCGCCTGTCCTGGCACATAGCTGCATCCATATGCCAGCTTCCCAAAGGTGTCCAGGTTGAGCACCTCAAGTCTCGCAAGCTCAGCTGCAGTCACTCCGATGCTGGCAGCACGATCCTTGAAAGCAGCAGCCGAATCCAACATTTTACCTAAGTAGCCAACATTCTGTAAGCCGTGACATGTCTGCGGGATCTGAGTTTCAACCACTCATGCAATGACAACATCAGGTTGCAACACAAGTTGGAGTTAGATAGAGAAGGGAGAGAGGAGACATGCACATCAAAGACGACTCAGAGAAAACAACTTACTAAGCTGCACTCGTTCAAAGCACTGAAGCGGCCCACATCCAATTAAATGCCCAAGAACAACAAAATCAAAAGAAAAATTTACGACTGCGTGGACATGTCTGCGAAACTGTTCACTTGGCTTGACCTGCTTGACAGCTTTGTTGCCCCTCACCTGTTCACTACGGTCCTGCTTCTCTCTGCGCACTTCTTCCCCGGACTTCCCGGCGCGCTTGAGAGCCTTTGGGCGACAGCTGCCACAGGAGCATTTGAGTTGCATCGGTTTTCAAACAGAAGATGTCACTCAACCTAGTTGCACATCGCAACACATTACCTCAATGTGCTCAAGAGCAAGCTGTCATGCAACTTTTCCTGGGAGACAACATTGGTGCCCTATACATAGTGCCCAAAGCCATGCTGACACTTTGGACACACTAGGTCAGTTGAGTCTGAGAAAACGTAATACGCCTCAGACAACAACCGACCACACCCTGTCTTGTCACTGTGCAAGACGTGACCGTAATGAAGCATCCTTGTTCTTGAATGCCTGAAAGCTCTCATGGTGTCACAACTTCCTGACGGTGCTTTCGTACCACTAGCCTCAGTGACTGAGGCTAAAAGAGCGTGACTTTGCTCTTCTTCCTCGCTTGAGGAGCCACTTGAACTATCCGATTCCTCACTAGAGGAGCTGGAGCTGTCAATGGTCTGTGCTTTGCTTGCAGCCTGGGTTTCTTCGTTCCAGACTCCCACAGAGGGGTGGTACAGGGCATACTCTTCAGTCGAGCTGAGATGCTCCACTAGCCCTGTCCTGGGTATGCCTGCTAATACCAACATCCTGCCAAGCCTGTCATTTGCCTTTGCATCTTCCTCTACAGTGAAGCGCGTCCTGTCTCCCATCATGATCCTTGCCACTTCAGGCACTGAGTTCCCAACATGCTGCTCGAACACTTGGTTCATTGGCAGAATCATATCGGCCTGTGGAAACACATGATCACGAGGGGCATCAGGAACAAAGCGGCCATCATGAACGTCTGCCAACATGCACACCAGTTGCCGGATGGGATGACTCAACGCGTCTCTGGTATAATTTAGGGCTGAACCATGCTCCTTGTTGACATGGAACCCTAAAATCTCATTCACTTCGAAGGTACTTCCCCAGACATTCATGTAGGAAAGAAGAGTGGCTTTCAGCGAGTGACTACTGATTCCCTCTATATCTTGCTGACTGAAGCCCAGGCCCAAGATAGCCCTCAAGCGGTCCGACAGCTCCGACGACTTCATGGGGAGGTTGTCACCTGTTTCGAAAGACGAAGCACCCGGCACCAGCACATAGCCGACATCATTGGACCTCGATGCCAAGCTTGGTACCTCATCCAAGCCCAGCTCACTTCGGGACAGCAGGAATTCGTGCAGCCAGTTCCTGCCTAAGAGGCCAAAGGCAGGGCAGACTAGTGGCAAGAAGGATGTCGCTTTCTCCTTGCTCTTTGCCGTCTTAGTCCGGCTCAAGGCACCTTCATAGTAGCGGCCGATCAAGGATGCATGCCGAAGCCTATTAGCGTCGGATGCCCTCATTCTGCCCATAGCACACAACATACAAAGCCCTGCCACCACTCGGTCGAAAGTGCTGGGCAAGGCGAAGCATGCTACTTCAAGCCAGCATAGCATAGACGGGCTCAACTCCTTTGCCCTAGCTCGAGGTGCTTTGGTCAAGAACAAGCCGTGACTTGCTCCTTCAACTCTGGGAGACGCAGCAGCCTCCAGAGCACCTGGAAACTGAAAAACATTTCCAACATATTTCAAGGTCCCCAGCAAAGTCTCCACACGCGAAGCACTCTTACCATGATCCCTGCAGTCGCACGCATATTCATAAAGAGCTTCTTCATCAATGGGGAAGAAGGGGTCACTGGGCTTCTGCACTTTGAACCATGCCAGGAAAAGTCCCAAGGATCCAACTCTTTGCTTGATTGTCGAAGTGGCCTTCTTCCTAAAGAGGTCCTCCATGACTCGCATGGCTGACTCACCTGAACCTGCACATCGCAAGAGCATTTTTCCCGGTGGAGTAGCCTCAGGATCTAACATAAAGATGTCACACCATTTCATCAGTGCAGAAGCTCTCTCTGCGTCCGCGTGCTGCTGTGTCTGGTCATACACAGCATCAGGAACCACAATCTTCTTCTGACACACCGGCAATGATTCAATCTTTGCACGTTTGCTAGGAGGAGGCACAACAAGGCTACGCAAGGAGGGCAAAGCAGGAGACGATAAGTGCGTCGGATCGCCAAACACTTGCCTCAAGAAGATGTTCGATTCCCATGGCTGCTTCGGATAAGCGTGGATGCTGCCCAAACTTAAGGCCACATCCAACTCACGCTCCACACCACTCATTAGTGAGGATTGCCCCACTTTGAGTGGAGTCAAGATGAACTTCTCATCATACAACTTCCCACCCACCCACCCTGAAATGAACTTGATAGCGGCGTTCATGTGACACACATTCACTTCACGTTCATGACAAGGACACATGTTGCTGGCAACAATGAGTCTCAAATAACATGTAGCTTCGAAGCCCTAAAATGAAGCTTTTCTGCGAGACATCCTTCAATGAAGCTTCGAAACTCAAAAAAACCAGCTTTTCTGCGATACTTCCTTCAAACATGAAGCTTCGAAGCTCTAAAACGAAGCTTTTCTGCGAAACTTCCTTCAAAAATGCAGCTTCGAAACTCAGAAACCAAGCTTTTCTGCGAGACTTCCTTCAAAAATGAAGCTTCGAAGCTCTAAAACGAACCTTTTCTACGAGACTTCCTTCAGAACTGAAGCTTCCAAACTCAAAAACCAAGCTTTTCTGCGAAACTTCCTTCAAAAATGGAGCTTCGAAGCTCTAAAATCTAAAACGAAGCTTTTCTGCGAGCCTTCCTTCAAAAATGAAGCTTCGAAACTCAAAAACGAAGCTTTTCTGCGAGACTTCCTTCCAAAATGATACTTCGGGCACAAATAGGGTCACCAGCGACCACAAAGGGGACGCACCATTTTTGTGTGACAGGTGTGGGACTCCAAGCACACTTGGTCACTTGTGACCCTATCTTTTTTACTTCAGAACATAGAAACAGTGAATAGGGTCACAAGCGACCAATGTACCTCCAGTGTCCAGGGGTCGGCGGCAGAGGGCGTAGCCCTTTAATATATATACACACAACACATGTTTAAACCGCCATGCATCGCGACTGAGCCAATGCAAATGCAATCAGTTTGGCTTTGAGGCCATGCAAGAAGACCGGCAACATGCCTTCACGGCTTGCAAGCCAGGAGGAGATGCCAATAAAGCGCCCAGGACGGAAAAGAGGTTGCCTCAGCATGATGAAAAACGAAGCTCCTCTGGTCACAGCCTGGAATTTGTAAGGTTCTGAGGCCATATCTCTTGCTAAATATGTTGGAATCGCCCCGCAAACCGCAACTCATAGGACGTGATAAGACTGCGAAAACGGACAAGTTGGAAACATACTGCAACCAAGCGTCGCAATGCATCCACGACTGCGCTGGCAGCAGCTTCTGGCGTTGGTGCATGCCAGTGACCTGCTGACTGACTGCCTTCCTCCGGTGAAGCAACTGCCATCCTGCAAGGCAGGATGATGATGATGCTGATGCTGACGATGCTGATGCTGATGCTGATGCTGATGATGATGATGATGAGGATGAGGAGGAGGAGGAGGAGGAGGAGGAGGATGAGGAGGAGGCGTGTTGGCGATGATCGTGATGATTGTGAAGACCCCTCACAATTACAAATGTGCTGACTTTGCTTTCGAGCGATGCACAAGCAAGCACATATTTTTCTCACTGCCAAATATGGCAAGATGATGCAAATTGCATGAAAGAGAACACCTGCAACCTCTTTGTTGTGACGCTCTCCTGGCACATCCACGTACAACTAGCAACCAATCTTCTCCGCCATGATGCTCCAGGCCGGAAGAATGGATTGCGGAGATACATCTGCTGTTCTCTCCATCTGTCTGAGCAGGAATGTGGTATTGTAAATCGATCTATGTAATCTACAAATATTCGAAGGATCGCATTCTCACATCACATGCTAAAATTCAAGTTCCGTGAGATCGTTGGACATATGATCGATCGGATCACGACAACACTGGCTCTCCCCTTGATTGCTGGTGTATCAGATTTGTCATGTAATTGTACGTGTCAATCATTTGCCTTCTGACTTGAGAAGAGCCGGCGAACTATGGTATTCTCCCTTCATACTCACTGCACTGACACCACTGGACAAGTGGACCAAGCATAAACCCAAATGCGGCAGCACAAAAAATCACCAGGTGAACTAGAAAATAAACACTACTAATGCCCACTGTTTCTGAAAAAATAAGCATGGCTTGCAATAGCTAGCATTCCAGATTATTCCAGTGCATAAGACATGTCGGCACTACCGTGCCAGTTTGACCTTCAAGGTCTCACACATGCAGGACCTGACATCTCCATAAGAAACATGGCCTGGGGCATTGGGCATTCCGCCAACAGATTTGCATCGCCACATGGCCTGGGCGCTGCAGGCATTGCTCGAAAGCCTCCGCCAGCAATGGCAGCCAATGGCCTGCCATCAACTTCTGCAGCTAGTTCTACATTGTACATAAATTTCCATGGCAAAACCCGTCGAAACTGAGTTTTCAATCCCCCTGCACATTTACCCCCCTGACCCAAGGCAACCATTTTGTAAGGGACCCAGGAGTTAACCTTACAAACATCCATGGTTAGGGGTTTACAAAATGGGTTGGGCACCAGGCTTGGTGTGATTCCCCAGCAAAAACCAGTGAACCCCAAAAAAAATCAAAAATCGGCTCCTTACAAAATGGTTGCCCCAAGTTAATTTCCAGGCCCCAACCCCAATCATCTTATAAGCTTGGGTCTTAAAAAATAGTTTGTTTGGAAACATGTCTTACTTGTACAAGTCCAACTTTCCCCAGGGAACCCCGCAATTTTCTTCCCAGTCCCCAAAGTTTGGAAAAAAAACAGAAAGTTTGATATCACCTTTTCTGGTTGGTTGACTTAGTGGTGTCTTGCCGGTTCTTCACACATCAATGGTGGAACCCAAAAAAATTAGAGAAGAAACCCTGGTTCCTGGACATGGCCAAGATTTCAATACCCTTTTTTGCACTGCCTGAAGTGAACCCAAAATTGCGTTATGAAATGATTGGCCCCGAGTTCATTTTGTAAAGAAAGTTGGCTCTTACAAAATGATTCGCCCAGCAAAAAACACACTTTTTACAAAATGGCATGGTTGACCAGAAAAATGTCCTTACAAAATGCATCCTTTTATTAGTAAAATGCCCCTGGAATGGAACATGGGTCAAGCCATTTCATAGTGGAAATGTACACAGGGATAGTTTTCATGCATATCAATCGTTGAGCTTTCATGAAGTGAGAACCCACCACCTTCCCCAAGATCACCACCTTCGCAATTCTTTTGTGCATTGCAAGCTGGGTCCATCTGACCCAGGTTTTGGATCGGTTTGATCCTGCTCGAAGATCCCTTTGGCAACAACTGGTCTAAATCTCCTGAAACCAGCTGCGCCAACACTGCACCTTCACCCCAAACCTCCAAACATTGTTCGAAGGGTGGGTGGGTGTGGAAACTAAGGAAGGGTGTCAGAGGCCACCCATGATTAAAACTTGCAGCCAAAATGGCAGCCGGTTCATATCAGATCGCTTGCACTTATTGCTTGTCCCTCTTTGGAGTTCTCAATCAATCGTTGAGCTTTCTTCATGAAGTGAGAACCCACCACCTTCCCCAAGATCACCACCTTCGCAATTCTTTTGTGCATTGCAAGCTGGGTCCATCTGACCCAGGTTTTGGATCGGTTTGATCCTGCTCGAAGATCCCTTTGGCAACAACTGGTCTAAATCTCCTGAAACCAGCTGCGCCAACACTGCACCTTCTGGGACTTTGTCGCGCAGTTCTCTAATCTTCTCGCACTTGACGCACTTGTGGGAATTTGTCGGTGGTGACTTCGACAGGGAAACTTTGACTGACCTCTGGGCAAAGTGCCATCCGCAAGCCGTAGCCCACTCATTGAGGTCCAGTTGCCACGACGCCTTTAAGACCACATGGGTGACCTTCTTCTTGGATCTCGTCCACGATGTCGCCCACAATCCAAGGTCTTCAGGGTCGTTCGGTATCAACACTGGCCCCGGTGTCCCCGGCGCTGGCGTTTTCGGTGCTGGCGTCGGAGGTTGGGTTGCATCACCTCCCACTAACTTGTCTGTCCATCTCTCCATGGACTGAGTGTGGTTGACCACGGACTCCTTTATCTCCTTTTCCGTAGTTCCGGTCACTCTGGCGTTCATAGGGCGCTCTTGCATGGCTTCTTCCATGTAACGGAACACTGCGGAGCTCCTCCATCTTCCAAGGAACGATATGTCTTGGATGTCCATGCCCTTTCTGGTGTAAAACATGGCACCCGACCTCCTTGCAGAGTGTCCTGTGAGATCGCCATGCAATTCTTTTGCCCAGCACTTTGCTGTGTGGGCTCTCCCCCGTTTTGCTCCACTCGTCACTGCGAAGAGGAAGTCCTCGGGTTTGCCGTTGGGACGATCAGCCACCACCCGCACTGCTAGGGCCCACGGGCATTCCCTCGTGCAAGTTTGTCTCCCGCAACATGAGAGGGTTCTAAGTGTCCCTCTCGCCGCCTGGTCTGTCTTGGACTTCCTGATCCTGAGGCCCACTGTTTTCTCTGCGAAGGCGACCTCAACATCACTCATTCTGAGTTCAGTGACTTCGCATGCTCTCAACATCCATGATAGTGCCAGGGCATACATCCAAGCTGGTCTCGTGTATCCTCCCTTGGTCGTGCACTTGTTCTCCCATGCCTCCGTTTTCAACTCGGCTATCTGGAGTTCTTTCGCACGAACTTCCGGGCCCCTGTGTCTTTTCAGTGCCTTCTTGCAAAGAAACAGTTGCCTCTCCAGCGGCGCACTCCAGTCGAAGCCCGCCTCGATGTGCATCAACTTAAGCTCATGGATGTATTGATCACCCGACTGCAACTGTGCCTCGTCCAAGGCTGTTGAAACAACTAAGATCGACTCCTGATGGAGAGGAAAGTACTCTTCGCCGCACGTCGCCTTCAGGATTTCCATTATCTTTCGGCGCTTGGCGTTCTTCGCCAGCAGTGTTGCGCTGGCAAGGAATTTTCGACGGAAACTCTCCTTCGCCTTCTTCAAGTCGTTCGGAGCCTTGGCCAGCTTCAGCGCGTTCTTCATGCCCTGCCTGGACTTGTCATGCCGATTGGGTTTCCCCTGGCCATTTCTGTCATCAGTCCCAGAACTGACTGTCCCTGGGAGTTCGGTGACTTCTGTCCCACCTGGCGACTCCCCCCTCGAGGGTCCTTCTGCCACTGGTCTCGGGTTCCTCGACATGATGCCCTGGGGGACTGAATCATTGGCCTGTACTCCCTCCTTGGCCTTGTGGAGGGGGAGCTGCCTGCTGACTTCCTTTGCTCTCCGTTGTTTCGCCAGTTCGTTGTTGACTCTGACGAAGTGCCCTGACCTAAGCAGGCTGCTGGCGTGTGCCCCCAATTGTTGGTGGTGTGGTTGGAATCCCGCTGACATGCCCGTGGGGAACTGCAGCACGCTCGCCTCAGCCATGTGAACCATTTCCACGTCTTGCCGCCCCATCTCCTGCTCAGTTGGCATAGCCGCGGCACACATGGCTTGTAGAACAGACACCCGAGGAGGAACGACAGTGCCATGGTCAACGCCCAAAGCTTCAGCAGGGGAAACTTCGCCTCGCTGTCCACCCCCTGCGTTGCGCTTACGCCCCATTGAGGCCTCAGCGCGATGGACATCGAGCGTCCGATGGTCACAGACCACTGCTGAAACTTGGGCCGGACTTCACTGCAGTGATCTCGGGTTCCATGCGTGGATACGCACGGGAAATCACTACGTCCTCTGCCATGTTAGATGCTTCAACCCTGATTTCAACAGTAAAATTAAAATTAAAATCAAATTCAAAATTTTGACAACCGAGTTCACTCCCCCTCCCTGAGATTTCCACAGGATTTTCCTCAGGCGTCACGCGCTGTCAAAGGTTTTGGAACACCGACACGTTGTGTGGCGGCAGCCCCTCCCATGGATGATGTTTGGCACCAGGGGGGGCCAAGGTGAAATCTTCTGCTGTCACCGGGGCCAACTGCTTGATCTTGATCTTCTTCAAGTTGTCTGGCACCGACTCCGACCTGTCGTGTGGTCGTGATAGCCAGTCTGGCTCGAAGTTCATGACCCCCGGGACGTGCTGGGGAACCAGTCTGACCACGTTGTACTGTTCCAATGCTATGGCCAGTTCACCGCCAAGGTGGTTGAGAGCCGGCGTAGAGCTCGACAGCCTCTTGGTCATCGCCAGGGCCACCACACTGTCGCTGCGCACGAAAACGGCTCGGCCCTGAAGTCTCGTGCGCCACAACTTGATTGCCCGGAGGATTGCCAAGGCCTCCAAGACACCTTGACTGGATGATTCGCCATGTTCGAGGCCCAACAGCTCTGCTTCCGCCTTGGTGAACTTTGCCTCGACCGCTTCTACCATGTAGATGGCTCGCCCTGGCTGATCCACAGAGACCAGCACCGCTCCCAGTCCCAGCGGTGAAGCATCTGACAGGATGCCCATGGTGACTGGCTTCTCCACGAGTTCCTCACGGCGCAGAACGAACCTGTCCGTCTTGGAGAGGATTGCCACCAACCATCTCAGTGTGGCACCAAACCTCTTCACTGCCACTAGCCCAAACTTCGGCCGACGGTCTTGTCGTCTTTGGGCCCTTTCTTCCTCTGCTCCAGACCTCTCATCGTCTTCCGCGTCCTTGAGGACCGCAAAGAGGACTGAAACAGCCCAACGTAGTCTCGGCAAAATGCCGGCTACCCAGCTCAATCGACCCGTGGTGCTTCTGAGCTCTCGGTGTGAAATCATGCCCTTGTGCAGCCATGTCTTCAATGTCTCCAGGATCTCCTCGACCATCTTCTTGGGGGCCGAGTAGGTGATCGACCCCTCCCTTGGGTCATTCGGCCACTGAAGGAGCATCTTCACCCCGATCCATTGGGCCTGTTGGCCCCTTTCGCCCTTCCCCAGTGCTATCTGCACTCCGAAGGCCTTCATGGTGTACAAGCCCAACGAGATGAGGTTGGCCTTCTCGTCTTCCGTTCCGTTCATCAACGTGAGCACGTCATCCACGTAGATCTGCATCTGGCCTTCCATCGGGGACATCAGGGACTGCCATAGTCTGCCCACCGCTGCACTCAGCCTTCCCATCAGCAATGGGGCCGACTTGAAGCCGAACAACAACGCTCTGAACAGTATGGCCTGGTTTTCCCTGTTGCTGGGTGCCAGACAGTTTGCCAGTTCTTCCCTGCAGACCGGGAAGTGGCAGAACGCATCTTGTAGGTCGTACATGACGAACTCTGCCACGCGTCCATTGTTGTCCTCTGCGTTCTTCTCGGCCAACTCCCTAGCCATTCTGGTGACGTCCACGATGCGAGGGAGGACTATACGTTCTGGAGTCGTGGTCCGGCTGTTGCCTCCAGACCTCAGCAGGTCTACCACTACCCTGCGCTTGATGCTCCCGTCAGGCTTGGTCTTGAGCACCAACGCAAGGCGGCTCACCGTGCCCTTGTCGAAGTAGGCCTGGACTTCGTCCCACTCCATCAGGATGGCAAACCCCTTCTCCACATACCTCTGCACCTCGATCTCTGCATCATCGGGGGCATCCACAAACGACTTATAGTTGGTCGCGTGCGCCTGCATCTCGATTTCCGGGCCTTCCTCCATGAGCTCCGGCGTGACTTCTCCGGTTGCTGGAAAGACGCCGTTCGACGTCGGTATGGGCATGTTCATGCCAAGGGGCACCCCGGTCTCCGCCCACTCCGCTATGTGGTAGTCGGGATCTCCCGTCTCCTTGAACCATGCTCTCCATAGGTCCACGTTCAATAGGCTCTTGAACATCAACTTGTCCCTGAGGGTGAGGCCGTCTCTTGTGGTCACACCCAACACCGCTGATACTTTCAGCTGCCATTCCATAGCGATGGTCTCGTCGAACTGTGCCTCCTTCGACCCGTAGCGCTCTCCCAGGACCAAAGCCCTCGGTCTCTCCTTCACGAAGTCCTCCCACGCGTACCTCAGCTTCTTGCCCATGTCCTTGACTTTCCATAGTCTCCTAACTGCACTCAGCGGGTTTCTCATGCCGCCGACACAGAACTCGTTTTCGGCTTCCTTCTTCTGCTTCTTCGTGGCTCCTGTCGATGAACTTGGACCGGACTCTTTCTCCGGGTTGACGCCTGCAATGGCTGAGTGCTCCTTGGCAATGGGGAACACCTCATCGACGTGGCCCAACCTGCGTGTGCCCATGGTCTCCTGTTTCTCGGCTATTCTCTTCTCTTCATTTCTGAGCCACCCCGCCTTCAGCGTGGATACTTCCTCGGCTTTCTGAGTCAGCTTCCATCTCCAAAACTCCAGCTCCAGCGTCCTCTTCCATGCGGCGATGTAGAGCTTTGCAACCTCCCTGCATAAGTTGTCAGGGTAGACCCCGGCCTTCACTGTGGTCTCTTTTCCCATGACGGGGATGTGCTTGACCCACGCTGGACACCTACAGACCTTTGCCAGGTTCTCCAATCCCTCCAGTCTGCCAGCCCATCTGCCTGGTTTGAAGAATCTTTCTTTGCCCTCCATGTAGCAGCACGTGTTGAAGTCTGCCATGCCTGCTCCTGTGAGCTCGAGGACTTCCACGATCTCCTGCAACATCCATGCACTGCCTGCTGGACCATCTTCATCACCTGGCGGGTTTTCTACAGTGGCTGACTGAGGTACCCTTCTGTTCCGCTGGGAAAGGGTCTGCTTCTGCATCAAGACAAGTGATCTCGTAGCCATCAGGGTTCCATGATCTGCTTCGTCTTGTTGGGCCTGAGAGTTACCTGGCAGGCCATAGGGATGAGATCTGGACCTGACAGGTCCAGGCATCCCCGCATTTGCCAGCCACCGCACACGGCTGAATGATCCACACGGGAATCCCGCATGATACCCATCATACTCGCCCCCCGACACCTTTGTCTCGAACTTGTCCATGGCTTCATTGCGCCGGAGGTCCATCGACGGGTCTGTCTTGATGTCAACACTCTCCACCTCTACCGTCATGCCCGCCCTCTGGCCCTCTTCCTTCAAGGCCTTGGCAAGCTTGTCATCCGGACCGCTGAAGAGATGCAGAAACCTGAACTTTCTCCTCTCCCTGAACTTGCCGAAGTCGCTTGCGTCACCGTGCAACTTTAACTCGTTCGGGCCACATGACACTTCTGGCACCCTCCAGCAGCTGTTTCGCCGGCTCCAACTCGACCTTCTGCCGGTCATCTTTCCCGCCAGACTCAACCTGCCCAGCCTTGTCGCTGGTCGAGTCCGATGGGCTATCCGAAGAGTCGGACAGCACCGACATCGATCCAAACACTGTGGATGACGGTCAAGTTGGTGCGACGATTCAAATAAAATGCAACCCAAATCAAACATGCAATCAAACCTAACCTGCCTTTCAAAATAACATGCAACAAATCTCAAACCTTCACAACAAGAAAACTAAACCCCTCAGACACTCGCAGCTTCATGCCTGAGGTTTTCTCGCTGGCGCCTCACTTCGAGGTGCATTTCGCCTCTTGGTGACTCGGCGAAAGGCAGATCCTACATTTGTGGACCCGCTTCACTGCTCCCAGGCATTCTGCACCCGGGCTAAGATGTCCGCAGGTCCCATTGCCCGCGCTCCACGAAAAACACAGTGGCTTGCCACTCTGGTCCTTGGACTTTCCTTTCGACTGGCCCTTTCCACCCTGGTGCACCTTGGTCTCATTGCCACCTCCATTCGAGTGACTGCCTCGCAAACGTTTCAGCTCTTCCCTGTCTTCCATCACCCTACGTTTTCTCGCAGCTCTCTTGTCTCTATTGGCCTGCACCCGCTTCTTGCCCTCGTCGCCCATCGTCTCGGTCACCAGGTCTGTGCCCCCCAGCATGTGGGCGTGAAGAGCAACTTCTGAAGCTACCACTGGCCTTCCACGTCCTCCCGCCGCCAACCATGCTGCAGCTGGATGGTGGAAGTTTTCCGCCCAGTACTCCGTGTCCTGGATAGCCAGGTCGAAAACTGCTGTCCACGGCCTGACAGGATCCCAGTTGATGGGGATTTGTCTTCCCAACGCTTCCGAGGTCAGAATTCTCCTCCTCAGTCTCTCCAAGCCCTCAGCCCGCATCTTGTCGTCGGCCTGAGCTATTAGGCCCCAACACATCGGCCACTGCGTTGTCAACCTTTCCACAAAGCGCTCATAGCTGGTCAGTGAGGCCAATGTGCAAATGTTCAACATCAATGCAGCTGACTTGAACACTCGCCAGCATCCCAACCAGGCCTGAAAGGTACTCGGGCCCGGCAACTCCTTTGTCAAATAGGACCCGTCACCCAGGGGAAACACTGTGCGATACTTCTGGTTCTTCATGGTCCTCCTTGCAAAAGGTGTCCAAACACTGAAGTCCGTGTAGGGCGCACAATCATGGGCTACTGTGCGTTTTGCCAAAGCTGCCAACTGCGCTGACGTAGGTTCCTCAGCTGGGTCAGGTAAGGAGCCCATGATGGTGACATAGGCCTGCGTCCATTGATTCACCTCCTCATTCGAAGGGGGCAAAAGCTCTGATTCATCTTGAGCATCTACTAGCGTCGACATCTTCAGGACCCTCTCCTTCAGGCCAGACTGTTGCACGTTCGATCCAACTGCATTGCCATGCCCTGGTGGTCCGATACCTCCCGTCGCTGTTCCCGTGCTCGAAGCTGTCGGCTCATTCCAAGGGTCGATGTCAATGAACTGGTCTTCTCTCGTGCCAGCTCTTGCAGCTACAACTTTCCTGCAAAGGCGCCACACCAGCCCCACTTGAGTAGCCTGGAGGGGCAACAACGGGCTGCCATCTGGAAAGGTGGCTTGATTACCAGCGCCCACCACAGCCACCCTCGGCAAGGCTGCAAACAGCCGCAAATCGTTGGCTGGATCGCCAACTTGGGTGGTAAAGGCCACCCAAACCTGTCTTCCCAGGCCCAAGAAATCCTTTACCTCCTCCAAATCTCGGAACTGAGCTGCTTCAGCCCAAGACCCGAAAAGGCTCATCGCGCCTCTGAACCCCCCCACAAACTAAGGAAGGGTGTCAGAGGCCACCCATGATTAAAACTTGCAGCCAAAATGGCAGCCGGTTCATATCAGATCGCTTGCACTTATTGCTTGTCACTCTTTGGAGTTCTCATGAAATCAACACCTGCAAGCACTTTGACCTTTCAACGCCACGGAAACCATCCAGATCGTGGTCGAAACTTCCATTTTCCATTCTTCCATGCCCCACAAGGCCCAAATATTTGGGTTTGTTTGAAAATAGGCTACCCCTCAATCCACTGCTTAATTGTGGTTATAACAAGTTCTATATCCCTATCAAAGATGACCAATTTGCGGGGTACCCCATTCTCAGACACCATTTAATCCCATTTAGATCATTTATCCAACACTGCTATGACAGCTACGAGGCACCGACTTGTTCGATCACTGCGCCTCCGGTGTCGTTCCAAGGATTCGGTCTGATACCTGGCCAGCTCCTGGAGTTTCGCATGGCCATCCTGGGAATACCATTGCCATGATCGGAGGATTTTGCACCCAAAAAAAAAATGCCATTTCATGGGGAAAAGGATGAGAAAAGGATGAGAAATCAACAGAAATCAATGGATGTTGGGCCTTTGGGCCATCCGCCACTCTTGCGGCAAACCCACAAATGCCTCGGAGCTGTCCTCGCGCAAGCGTCGGTTCTCGTCTTCCAGGACTGTCCGCTCAAAGCCTTTCTCAGTTCTCACCGCAATTCTGTGAGGTTAAGCACCCATGCACAATAAAAATTGGAAACTTAACAGCAAATCCAAGGAGATGCAGGGAAAAAGGTGGCATCAAAGACAAGTAGAAAGAAACTAGTGGGGATTGGTATTGTACATACACAATAATACATCAAAATGCATAATCTCGACTGCCAAGCCTTGGAGGAAGAAATGAAAGGAGGGGAGATCGACTCGTCAGTATCTGTTTGCAATAATCGTGATTTGTTCGAAAGTGGAGAAGCTGCTTCAATGCATTGCCTGGCTCACCAACGCTGCTGCCACTGCGACTCAGCCTGCACAGTGCGGTGCTGCTTTTCGGGCATACAAACTACAAACAACACAAACAATACTACTTGTTCGTAGATTGCAGTGCAATGGAGCACACATAGCATAGCATGCCAAGATACACTGAGCTTTCGCCATTTGAAGCTTGCATCCAGTACATTACTGCTGAAGGGGAAACAAGCCCACGAGAAGACAGCATGAAGCTGAGTATTCATTTACATCTACAACTGCCACCTGGCTCCCCTTCTTTACTGCTGCAGGGTTCATGCCTTCAAGCGCAATCTACGAATGGAAACCTCCTGTGGAAGGAAAGTCCCAAATGTTGAGAGATGTTGATTTCTTTGATTCGTGGTTCAGGCTTCCCAGCTTCCCAGGAGCTGGCTTCCGTGACACCTTGGGTGGCGTAGCAGATCTATGCTGCGATCTCAGGAACTCGCGCGTGGTGGAGTGAAACATGTGACGGTGACGTGCGAAGTCATCTATTCAACACTTCCTTGGAGAGCTGCATGTCCTTTTCTGGAAGTTTACTATGTTCAATCATAGATCCAGCATGACAGTGCAGATTCGGTCAATCTGACACAACGTTAGTCAGTTCAAGCTTGTTCCGATGGATTAATTTCGGCCCTCTGTGTAACTTCTGTGCATGCAACATGAATGTGATGTGTTCACCTGATCCCTGTGCTTTAAGCTCTCACGTAAGGAAATGTTTCAAACGCATCAGGAGCAGTTTTACTACTTGCTTGTGTCCAGCAACAGCAGCCAACTGCAAGGGCCTCAGTGTCTCAGCTGGGTTTTGGACAGGCCACATCCCTGCAGTCAGAAGTTCCCTGACAGCCTCGCAATGACCGCCATTGGCGGCTAAGTCCAATGGAGTCGTCCCTGCTGCCGAAGCCCATGAAGCCCATCTGCCCCTTCGCTCCAGCAGCAAATGCACGATTGGTTGGTGGCCTGCATGTGCAGCATCATGCAGAGGGCTGAAGCCCGAATGGTCACATTGCATCAGCACGCGCTGATCTGAATCCAACAAGATCCTCACGGTGTGATAGTGGCCGTGGCGGGCTGCTCTGTGAAGTGGGGTTGCACCATCAGCGGCAATGCAGGATGGATTTGCACTTGCAGCCAATAGCATTTCAACAGCTGCTGAATGACCTATGCTTGCAGCACTGTGAAGGGCAGCTGTCAAAAACTCCATGGTAGCATCTGGTCCAAGGCCTGTTCCTTCTCCCTCCGCCACCGGAGTAACAACATTCGGTACGTGTTCCAAAGACCTTTCACTCCAGCAGCGGCTAGCAGTGGCATTTGTTCTTGCCACGTCAAGATTTTCCCTTGAACGCACCTCACCCTCTACCACACTTGGAGCTTTCTTGCAAGAGCTTGGAGCAGCTGCACTGGTTTTGTTTGGTGGAGCTGTTCGTTCGAACTTGGACTCAATAGAATGGCAACTTGATGATTCACGCTGTATCCAGAGGCCACCAAATGATGTCCAAAATCCAGACTTTGGCTTGTAGGCCTCCCCTCCTTTTACATCTAGGACCACTGCCTCGTCAATCATGTCTGCTCCCTGGGCATAACATGCACGTCTACGTTTCTGCGCGTCCTCGGCTCCTTCTTGGGAAGTTTGTGAAGTAGCAAGCCTCGTGCCTCAGTTCCCCCTCATCTTGAAATGTTCCCTCCCAAGTACAATGTCTTGTAATCTTTTGTGTAATTATATAATTATATTCATAATATGTGCACTAAGCACTGGCTTTCTGACATTTTTACCAGCCGTCATCAGTAAGGCCCAGGTGCTAGGGCTCTCAAGGATGTTTTTAACACCTGCGCTGCCTCAATGGCATCGACGCTGGAATCAATAAATTCACACACACACACAAACAAACAAACAAACAAAAAATGTGAAGAGAGATCAGTTTGCGTGCTGAAAGTCTGAAAGGTGTACGTCTTTCAACAGTAGCGTATTTCCATTTCCACCTTCACACTAATTACCTCATCCTTCAAACATCTTCAAACAATACGTAAAACCTTTTGCCGGCCAAACCTCGAAAGCTCCTCGGAGTCATTGCGCAGAACAGCTCCTGATACACTCGGTTTCGGTCTGTGTTTAGTCTTGACTCCGTTCAACCCTTAGCAGATGCCAGGATTCTCTACTGATTCCAGAAGGCTTGTACTTATTGTCTCCTCATCTACATCGTAGCTGTGCTTGGCGCTATCACGAAGAGAACTTGGAGCCTGCAAAGAAAAGACACGCTTTGCAGGACAAGAAAGAGGCTCTGATGGGTGCTGGGTTTACAATACGCTATGCCGACTGTACTGGTACTGTTAGCATGACCTCCGGACCTACGAAAGTTCTTTTCCCTTTCCATTCCCAATGCGAAGCACAATCCTCAAGTCGGGGATTTTCAGGAGGATAGTAAGAAAACCAAACCTGAGCATCCAAGCTACTCAGCTACTTGCTGAAAAAACTGTTCTTGCATTCAAGCCTATTGATCCATAATCCATACCCAGATCTGTTCATCTTCTAACCTTTGAGCGCAAAACTCGCTGCCAGCTCGGTCATTAGCCTCCTGGTCAAGATCTGTACATGAGACCGAAAAGAATGACCTCACCAGGAACAAAGCCGCCACGGGAATGTGCATAATTTGCACTGGGACAAAGGAATTAGAAATCCTCCACATGTGGAGTTCAGCCAAATGTGCCATTCCATCTCACAAAACTGCTTGCCAGTCAGGAGCAATCGGTGCAAGATAGAACTGTCATAGTCATAGTTTACCATCGCAGCCCAAAGCACCTCTGGCTATTGCTTGGTGGTCGCCTCGCACGAGAATCGCAACACCTGATCAAGTTCTAGCGATCCAACAATGAAAAGTTCAAGAAACGACGACAAAGGACCAGTACAAGGTTTTCTCTTAAGATTGGCCCATTGGACACCAGTCTCTTGCAGTTCCGCAGCTGGTGAAAGGATCTATATGCTGCAGGATCATCAAACATGCCAGCAGAACTCGTGACCCCTCTGGTCGGCCTCAGAAGGCTCAGTTCGGAGGTCGACGAGTTTTATTACCAAACAAAAGTGTAGAGGGCCACGATCCAACCCCCAAAGCCCCGTCCTCCTTCATGTGGGTTTGCCTGAAAAAATGCTACCCTTAAGTTCGGATCAAATCTGATGGTTCATCATCATGTTCACCATTAACATGGTGTTACACATTGTTATTTGGGGAATTTGGGGTCCCTGATTTTGGGCAGAGCCATGTCCAACATGTATCTCCCCACAACTTGCCCGGTCAGCTTCAGTGCTGTTCATTTTTCTCTGGCAGCCTCACCAGCTGCGAAACTTCAAAGCGGCACCATCTTTGGGCACCGCAGATGTTACAGCCATGGCTGCAAAGCAGGATCATCTGCCAGCGCTGGCAGGCTATGTACCTGGCATCCGCGGAAAAAAAGGAGCATGCCCTTGCCTTGTTGAAAAGCACTGCACCATGCACTGGAAACAGCTATTCTATTCACAACCATCATCTTGCTGAGCCTGAAAGAAGTAATTCAAGAACAGCTGGTTGCAGACCTTGCAACAGATTTTGAATAGAAGAAATGTGCAGAGGAAGGTACCCCGCTTTCACTGAGTCGAGAGGAGAAGGAGTCGTCGAGGAAATATCAAGTCTCAACATCTGTGTAGACAATAGACAATGAGGGCTCTAGAACTGAGCTGCCTTTTCAAAGGCGCAGCTGAAACCCGACAGCAAATAAAACCTGACAGCTGATCACAAATGCGGGGACTGTGTGAGACGTTAAAAAAAGCAGAAAACGACACAACTACCAGAGACATCCAGAGACAACTTGCCTCCTGGGAGGAGTAGATTTTGCAGCCAGAGAAAGAAACGATGAAATCTCCCGGCTCGAAGGTGGTGTGGGTCAGCAGCGCTGATGATACTAGCGGTGGATATCCTCAGCATGTCTCAACGCACGGTCCCAGCACATTGGCAGGGCCATAAGAAGGATCGGATCCTCCCCTTGCACCAAGTCCCCAAAAAGCATGTGCAGTCAGTGCAGCTCAAATTGCGTTGATTTTATGCCCAAACGCCATTGATGGTCTTCTGACCCAGCGGACTCCAGGCCGTTGCATATCCCTGACTCTTTGCGGCCACGGCGGGGTCGCTGGCAGCCGCCAAGACCTGAGCTCAAGTCATGTCGCCATGGATCCATGGGATCCCATGCAACTGAGGGGCGAATGGGAACTGCAGCAAGTAGACCTCAGTTGCAGAGACAGCTTCCACTGCCTGTGAAAAGTGAAAAATACCCCCATCCCATTCTACTGGTAGATAGGTACCCCATTGTGGGTTGGTTCATAATTCCAATAAACCAACCCAACCAATCAACCAAACTGCCAGTCGCCGAGCCAAGGAGCCATTGCTGTCTGCTCCCACCAGGGATGCTGCGTCACCGGACTTCGTCCAAACGTCATCCATCGCACCTTCTGGAAGAAGGCCCTCGGAGATGTCATCTCAGGATACCCTCTGGTTATTTGACAGTTTGCCATGGAAAATATGACCGTTTTTATACAGTAAATCACCTATCACCCATAAATGAACGATGTTCTAGCAATGTTAAATTATCGGAAGGTGCCATGAATGAATGATTGACCATGATGGTTGCAGGGCACAAAATGGCCCAGGAAAGATATGAAGGCAGCGAACTCTTCATGGGTGACATGTTTTTGTTCTCAAGGGTCACTTTGAGGCCGCTGGGTTGTACACATCTGAAATTTGATATGACCCAAAGAAAGTAGAGATCATTGAAGGATTAAGGTGCCAAGCTTCCACGACCAAACAGATGCTCTGGCCAGCCTCACATGAAAAGCTGTACAGCCAGAGTTTGTTGTGGGTTCTCCCTCTCCTGCTGCAGAAGGTATTACTAAAGCAACACCCTCCAAGTAAGAGCACCAGAAAAATGACCAATTTTTGAGGGATTTGTCCACGGTAAGGAAGCTTTGACATACTGGTTCTTCTGATCTGGCATATCATATATTCCGACATTGATCTGAAATAGATTCTAATAAATTATAATAGTAAATTCTTATAATATATATATAATATATATATATAATATATATATATATAATATATATATATACATACGCATATATATATGATATATATATATATATGATATATATATATATGATATATATATATATGCGTATGTATATATGTATATACGTATGTTCTAGCATACTATCGGAGGCACATTCTGAACTACTATATTCAAACAGATATCTGTTTATGTGACCTACGATCTGACGTCATTTGAAATAAGCCCAAGGTCTCTCTGACAGAGATGTTCCCCTGAATATGTGGCAACGATGGCTGGGGTCCAAACATGACGCCAGTGTTCAGCATCAAGCCATCCTCCGAAGCTACCAGCTGCACCCGCCGCTCTTTGAAGAGCCAGTCGGACCAGCCTTGCAGGAAAAGTTACTTTGGAGGAATACTGGATATTTCCAGCTGAGTTCTATGCGAATTTGTAGTTTGACACTAAATGTCCAAGCCTTGCGGATTTTTTATTTTGTTGTAGAATCACTATGTATCAACATCTTGTGGCGGACACAAAAAGTTAGGCTCTTCTCCTGCTGTCGAGCAAACGGAAACAGAAATACTAGTCGATCTTTCCCAGCTACTTACACCTCCCAAAGCTACCAGTCTGACCTAAGGTGCGATTGCTTGGCGCATCTGCTGGGGGTTCCAGAGATTCACAGCTATCGTCCCAGGAGACATAGCTGTCCAGCAGATTGTCATACCACTCGAGCAAATCATCTGGAGCCTTCAAAAATGTTCGACACAAGCACAATCAACGTATCCATTGACCCGTCACCTGGAGATGTGACAAGGTGTCTTTGGCTGTTGCTCACAAAGCCAGACTCACCATGAAGCATTCGCAACTTCATAACCAAGCCTGCTGCGGTCCTGCTTTCCACTTCCGCACCAACTCTTTTAATCTTTCCTACCGGCGGTGGCATGTTGCATTGCAGACCGTAAACGTCAAACTCTGACCTTTTGTGAGTCTTTCCGCAAGAACGCAGAAAGGGAGTGTCTCAAGTAGGTCATGGTCCACTTCACAGTCTCCAAAATGAAGGGGTTGAAATCCCCACATTTTGCTCAAATCCCTGCCTTATTCACAATTGATTCCAATTTGGGCGGCATGTATAACAGTATAACATTCATAACATTCCCATATTTTTTCTGCCCAGTCACTCCATCTCCAGGATCTTTGGGACACCTGCTTTGTGCTATGCCAAGGATATCCTCCAGCCGCACCTGGCACCAAGAGCCACATCGGAATCTTTCGGATATGACAGTCATTTATAGTGCATTACATACTACGTATACATACATAATGTGTATATATATACTGTATATAGATATATTATACATATGTATCTGTAAAGAGAGAGAGAGAGAGTGAGATATGTAAATATTCAAATGTTAATATTAATATAGGATATCTGAATCTTTGATATGTTGACGTTTTTGATACTTTGATATTGATATTGGTACTGATATTATTACTGAAGATGGTTGCTGCCCTTACAATGATGGTCATGCTGCCGAGTTGTATTGAAAGCTTGCTTTGTGCTTCCCGCGCACTTCTTTTTTCGGTGATCAGCCTCTGTGTCCATGAAGAAGGAGTCACAATCCAACCACATCACCTCCGGTGTGGAAAACATGTGCGCCGCATTTTTTCATCAATGTTCTGGTGCCACAAATGCCAAATGTATGGCCAAATGTATGGCCACTGGTGCCGTAAATGTCCGAATCTCTCAGGCCACCCAGTCGTGCTGGCCCTTTGCCAAGGTTTCCAGAAGAGCATCCACCTGCACCGAGGCTCCGCTTGGGAATGACAGTTTTAGCCGAACTCTCAAGTTTTAGCCGATCGGCTTTTGGTGTTCAGGCACCTATCACTTGCCACAAAGGTTACTTCATGCACCTTGATGCGGAATCAAATATCAGCCCAGGGTCATCATCTCAGTCAGAATGACAGTGGATGCTGCCTCCCACACTCCCAAAAGCTGCCTTGGACCATGCTGGTGGTCGTGTCTTCTCAGTCAGGTAGGTGAGCCCGTCTGTGAAGAGTGGAGCTTTGTCCTTGGAGTCACGTATACAAGGATGTTGGCATCCGCTGAACGACTTGTTGGAGAGCTATGAACTTGCCTGCAACGATGATTCATATCTTAGAAGCCTAGGATCGTACATGACAATGTCATAGCCATGCAGCTTGGCATACGCATCTCCTCAGTTGGAGTACAAGCCAACCAAAAAAATCAGGCTTTGAATGCATGTCTCCTAATGAAAGCAACAGATCATAACAAAGCTATCAGGCAAGCACATTACACAATAATACATCTAGTCTATATATGCAATATTCCCTACTCGGCTCTCAGCAAATGACTGCACACGCTTGCTCGTTTGATTCCCTGCTGTCCCAAGTGTCTGTTCAGCTTGGAAAGCCGTGCCAAGGGCGTCTGCGTCGGATCGTAGTCACACACCGTGACCTGAGGACCACATGGTTCGACCACCATTGGACTTGAAGAGGTAAGTTTCTTCAATTGATACGATACGGAAAAACATAGAGTAAGTAGCCAAGTAGATATTCAATCACTTCAAAATTATCCAAAAATCAACTATCTCATCTACCTCCGTAAGTACTCAGTGCTCAAGGCTCAAGGCCATGATTTTGCGTCCAAACAAGCAGATACTGCTAAGCACAGCAAAGCTTCTATCGCGATTCGTTGTGCATCATCCCGAGTTGGAAACTGCTGCGCAGCGCTGCGAGCAGCGAGGCCCCGCCAGGGCTCTAACTGCAGCTCCTGCTGCTTCAGGAAAGCCATGGAACCTGCTCCAAAGGAGGATCTGGAGCAGTCGATTCTGGTCGATTCTGGTCATTTTGTTGGTATTATTATGTATCATCCAAGCTTCTGGGTGCAGAATTTTGATCCATAAGAAATGATTCCAGTGGGTAAAGTCGGTAATACGCTTTCTGCAACATCCACCCAAAACATCCGAAAACAGGAAATTTTGCCAAACATCGAGTGACGGAGAATTCCTTCCATGTTCTGCTTCCAGTTGATTGGCCACGGGCTTTGATCAATGTAGTCCTCGCCCTTCATCTGGTAGTCATACGAGCCGAAGATGGCAGAAAGCTGACGGAACCTCCCAGTTGAGAAGAGAGCGTTGCAACCCCAATAGATGTGATGCATTACATCCATGATAGACATGATATACATTGCATGATTACGATAGATAAATATAGATATAGATATAGGTATAGATATAGGTATAGATATAGGTATAGATATAGACTGATGTAGATATAGATATGGATATAGATATAGATATACATATAGACTCTTAATATAGACATAGATATAGATATAGACTCTTGATATAGACATAGATATTGATATAGATTTAGACTTAGATTTAGATTTCGATTTAGATATAGAGACAGACAGATAGGTAGATAGACAGACAGACAGCTACAGTAGGTAGATAGATAGATAGATAGACAGACAAACAGACAGATCGACAGAGAGATCACATAGACAGATAGATTGATAGATTGATAGATTGATAGATTGATAGATTGATACGATACGATGCGATGTGATACGATACGATACGATACGATATGATATGTCAAAGATGAATCCCCGTCCGAACTACAGGAGGGGCCTTCACTACCTCATTTTCTTAAGAGACCCGAAAATGGTCTAGAAAATGCATGAAAATGCTGGGGAATGAAAAAAAAAAAAAGCTTCTAGAAAATGCAAAGACATTTGTTTTCAGGGGGGGTACTAAAACCCACGAGGGAACACATTTTCTAGCCAGGCCAAGTTCTGGAACGTTTTTATTATCAAAAAAAACTAGAAAATTACATGTTTAAAGAAAAAACTCGAACATGCTTTGTCATTTTTGTCTAGAAAATGCCACGAAATCAATGATATCAATGATGATACTGCACTCACACAGATAGCATGCAGTGCGGAAAAGCTGGCGCGTAATCATGTGGTTCTGATGCATGTGCAAGCTGCGCATTGGTCTTGATCTACAGTTTTGGGCAAAACTCTATAGGATGTAAGATGTTAGTTTCAAAGTTCAAGCATCAATGAGCCAAGTCATCTCCAAACCTCTAGCGGGAATGATCTAGTCTCCGGCCTGGTCGCAAGCACTGGCAACTGCAGGTGATCGCAGCACTGCGCCGCTAATGCTAAGGCTGACATGACTGCGGTGGCGCAGCCAAAGGCAGCCTGCTCGTGCAGGATCTTGCCACTCTGATATGAAGACAGATACAAAAGATACGAAAGATACAAACAAAACATGAGCATGACATTGTAAATTTGACAGGTGTCCCCGGTGTCCCCGGTGTTTTTTGTATCCCCCAGTGTCCCTGAAAGGTGTCGCTTTAGCACCTGGGTGCTGCGTGCCGTCTCTGCCAACAGCTCTCCAAGACCACGTAGGGCCGTGGCAAAGTCGCGACTGTTGAAATGGCGGACCACGCCGCTCAGAGTGCCATGGAACTGAACCCAACGCCTCAGCGACTGGAACTTTGTTGGGCCGCTGTGCCTCAATAAATGTCTGGCGGGAGTGTGGCATGGTAAGACCGTTCAGAGCTGAAAATCCTTCATTCCATTTCATCCCAGCATCCCAACCCCTCTGTGCCACAGCATGAGCCGAGACACTCCTCTCCGCAGAAGTCGAGTCCAATCCACTCACGCAAACCAGCAGGTACTTGCGACTCTGTCATCGGTTGACCCTGACCTGCCACCCTGCCGCAGCACAGAAAGTTGTCACACGGGCCTGCATTTACCTCAAACTATAATGCTATTTCATCTTCAAGAAATTTCTTGAAGGTGTGGAGGATTGGAGCTGGACTGCCTTCCAAGAACTTTCGATGTATCAATTTATTGTCTTGGGAAGTACTGACATCATAGTCCTCTTCTGGCCTGATGAAGAGCAGCGGTATGGCCCAAAGGCGCCATCGTCGCCCACATGCCATGGCAGGTCAGCAGCTACAAAATTGCGTCAGAGTGTGTCGTTTCTTGAACCCTTCAGCTGCATTTCCCACCCTGAAAGGATTTGGGTGCATGGAAGACCTCAAGTATGAGAACTCAGTGGTAGTACCGTGGCAGTTGGATCAAGGACAGTGCTTGTCTAGGTATTTTCTGTTAGATTGAAGCTGCACGTGACCTGGATGTTTTGTGGAGTTGGGAGCAGCGAAAAATCCCTCTCATCTGTGCCCATGACTCTTGACGTTGAGCCAAAGCTGAAAACAGATTGCAGATTTAGCAAAGTTGGCTCCATCAATGTGGAAAATGCTTGGGATTGTTTTCGAGCTCCAAGTCAAGGGTTATCCTAACTGATAAGAAACTATTCCGGGTGTGAACATGTGTGACCTGCCTACACGTCGAACCGATCAGGGATACGATGACATGCAAAGAGCAGTGGACAGGGGCTCAGAGGCTCAGACTGGAGCAGAAAGAGGCACTAATTCCTGAAGCAAATTGACATACAGTAGCTATCGTAGCAGCTATAGACTGGGCTGAACATGGCAGCGTCATAAGAAATACAATGAAACTTCTCTGCCAGGCCTGGGGGTAGAGAAGCCAATCGCTGCTTCCAGGCTCCTGCGTGTGCCGGGATACTGCTAACAATCTAAAGGAGTCCACTTGCACAAAAATGAAAAAGGATGAAAGTCATACGAGTATACCAGCAACAATGGTTCAGCATGCATGACATCATGTTTCGATATGTTTCACCTGTCTGTTTCTATTCCTCTCTTCCAGTGCAAGCAGGACAAAGTGGTGCTTCCAGGCAAATCCCATCATCCGACTGTCAAAGTCCTTTTTGCTGGGCCCTGCAGAGGCTGATGCAGCATCTACAGCGACTTCCAGTCGGAAGTCTGGCTCTGGGATCAAACCTTTGCTGTCCAAGTCTCAATGCAAGCTTCAATGCCATTTGAGAAAAGGGGATCTGTAGTCCTGCTCAACAAGACTTCCATGCTCTAGACCTGATTAAGAGAAATTAAGAGTGTAAGTTACACTTGATACCTCAAATGTCCTCACTGCGCTTCTCCATTGCCAAGTGACTTGAGTCGTGGCATCTGAGCATGCCTAATTCTTTGAAACAAATCTACAGGTGAGAAGGGGCCATTTTCCGGACAGCGACAGAGCAGATTGGGCAAATATTGCCTGGCTCATACCCCATTTAAGATTGTCAAAGTGCTGATAAGACCGAAAATGAGCCTTGCCATCTAGCGCGCAAGTACTGCCATTGCCATATCAATCCGGAAAATGTCTCCTGTCACAATTTCCAAGCTGCAGCGGGGCCACTGATACTTGGCCCGCTTTGGAGAGCACACTTCAAGAGCAAACTTTCTCCCTCCTCAATATTGAAAGTCATCGTGTCAGCTCTACGTATATCTCTCCTTTTCGAGAATGTGCAGGTACAGTATACTATAATATATACAGTATATAGGCATATAGGCTCGTCCCACCTCCTGGAACTACATACGATGGCGTGGGGGGGTGGGGTGGGATGTTAACGTTCATGTGAACTTGCAGAAGCAGTTGATGCTACGCACACGCGGGGTGGGGGGGGATGGGGTGGGATGTTGACGCTCATGTGAACTTGCAGAAGCAGTTGATGCTACGCAACAGTTCATAGAAGTTTTTTAATTTCAATTATAACAGTCTAAGCACATATTTTTAATATTGTTGATTACTTCATTTTTTCAACAATATCAAAACTATAATGAAAATCACAACAGTCAAAGTATAGTTACCTCATCCATTTATCAAAATCACAACAGTTCAAAGAACAATACCATAAAACCATAACAGCAAAATGACAAAACCCAAAAACAGAACAATCAACAAACAACAGCAAAATCATCACTACCTACCATCAATCACCTCATTCATTTTTCACAAAATCATCACTGCCACCTATATCATCATCTCATTCATTTTCATAAATCATAACTACTAACCATCTATTACCTCATCCATGTTATAAAAATCACAGCAGTCAATACATCATCACCTCATCCATTCCATACCCAAAACGGAACAACCAAACAACAAACAAAAAAAAAACAGACCAAGCAAAGCACAATATAAAAATCAAAACAGAGAACAACAATAAATATAAATCCATACCCTTTAATAATCCTATCTTAATCATTCATAATTCTAATAAATAAATATTATTAGAAATATGTTAGTAGTAAATGTCTTCAATAATTACGAATTTAAAATGAAATGCCTGTATTCCTATTATACTATCTTTATCTTGGTCTTCTTCTATGTCGGCTTTTATTTCTTCAACTGCTTTCTCTAATAGTTCATCTACATTATCTTCATCCACATATTCATCAAAGTCATTCATAAAATAAATCTCTCGCCACTAATTGGACTTCAATATCAAGTTTAACTCTATAATTTAAATCATCTTCTACTTCTTCATAAATTAAAGATAATAATTATTCTTCTTCTGTTATTATGTCTTCTAAACTTTTTAAACTAAATGGCACTCCCTCTCTCATAATACAGTACTCAATTATATATATATACTTTTTTTTCCTTGATTTCAAATGTCTTGCTATTTTAGGACCAAGTCTTGAAATCTTATATTTGTTTTGTATTCTCTTCAATGCCTCAATATGGCAATATTAAATTTTCAAATATTTAGGGTCTCCAATTTTATAAGAAGCAATTTTACTCAGCACATCAACGGGTAAATCCTTCGCACAATCCATCCTACTAATATACTTAACTATTCTTTAAGTATATATTCAAAGATTAAAATAAGGCATTCTTTAAAAAACTACTTAAAGATAAATTCACTAAATAAAATATACAATATTATATGATGAAAAAAAGTTATAGACTATCTATTGAGTAATGATTTAGCAGACATACCAAAAAGAGGAAGAAAAGAATTGAAATCAATAGTAATAGACAGCAAGAAATTTAGATACAACAAAGACACACCCATATCTAATGTTTCAACAAAGAAACTATTAACAGTAAAGAAAACTAATGAATACAGAAGCTATATATACAGTATATATATATATATATTATAGGGAAATGAAGTTTGCTCCAGGGTAATCTCTCAACCACCAGTGTTCAACGTGAAGATCCTGCGAGGATGCTAAGAGCAGTCCACCCTTCGAGGCTGATTCAGCAGGGTCAGAGTCAGCTGAACTCTTCCGAAGTTTGACTACAACTTGAACTTGTTGCCTCGGAGGGTCTGTACAATCAGACTGCAAGCAAAATTCCTTCGACTGGAGCCATAAAAGCTGCAAAATCTCGATTAATTGAGCTGTTTTGGGATCTTTCTACTATTACCATCTCTGTTGTTCTGGAAAATGACTTGAAATAAAGACAAAACCTGGCAAATGCCCGCTAAAGGTGTCAAGGAGGTACATCTTCAGCAAGTAAACTCTGGGCAGAATCTGGGAGTCCTTCTTTTTAAGACGAACTGTCATGGGCTGCCAGTCGAGGTTGGCTCTCAAAAGCAAAGCCAACTTCCCAAATGTCAGCGACCCACCCACCATACCTGATATCTGCTGAGGACAAAGTTCTTGTCACCTCTTGGCTTTCACCATCAAAAGGAATATAGGACCGAAGCCAAGGCACACTCAAGTTGGAGTACAAGTTTCCACTGTGTCAATGATATCTTACGCCAAAGTTGAACCATTTTTACTCAATACGAAAACGGGTAGACACTCAATCATGCACAGGGGCATAGCTAGGTAATTTGGACTTCAGGTAGACATAAGCCACACAAGAGACTGTATGGCAAAAACTGGGACTCGGGGACCTTTCCTAAATTCTCATTGGTCAAAATTGCATACAATTGCTGCTGATTCTTGACTCAAACTCAAAACAAAACTCAAATCTAAAGTGCCCTTGAACACACCGAATCTGTCGTGCCACTTTTAGCCGGCAAAATGTTCCACTTCTGCAGATTTCCCACCCACAACACACGCATGGCCGCATGGTGCATATGCGTATTTCACTGGACTAAGTAGCAAGCAGTATTGGTGCGGCGATTTCCAACCACTGACAAGCCTTTCCGCTCACCTTAAGAAAAGACAGCTGGTTTGGGTATGGGACAATCTGAGGCGATGGACTCAGTCCAGAGGTTTGATCCACGGTCATTCAGATCCAGGCATATCCATGCCATGGCTACAAGACCTATGTCTTCCTTGCCAAAAGCCTTGAAGCTCCTGAGGCATCCGACTCTTTTGGCCTTTCAAAGGTGGCCACCTGGAAAATGGAAAAATTAGATGAAAATTGGTCAGTTGACTCAGGACGAATTGTGGACAGTGATGGACAGTGTGTCGAGCAAAGTGAGCTGAGAATGCAGTGACACTTTGAGAGGACACAGTGCTATTTTCTCAGCAGCCAACTTTGGTTTCTCCACCTGCAGCAAGATTAGACAAAAGCTAGTTGATGAAAACAAGATGCCAAGATTTGGAGGCAGATGTTCTCAGGTCAACAAACAAAATGCGTCTTGGACCTGCTATCCCTTTGATCCCTTTGCGTCTTGGACCCTATTGAAGCTGGATCTCCAACCTCGAGGGACTGCTCAGGCGTCAAGGACTTGCAGAAGACCTGGCTAAATCAGTCGAGCACTGCAAATCAGTCTTTGAAATTCAATTATTGAAAGGAGATGAAAGGAGTATAAGGACAGTAAGGACAGTAAGGAGGATCTGTCTGGAAAGTAGTAACGCCGTAACGCCCTCTACATCAAGTTGCCCTTGCACCTGCACTGTCTTGGATCGCTCCATTCTGCCAGAAGCCTGGAAGGTATGTGAATGTTCTGCTAAGAACACGTCTCCACCAGTCAAAGTCGGAAGCAGCAAATCTGTGAGGAAGGGGTTCCAGTCTTGTGTAAGTGATCTGGAAACCTCTCCATTTTGTTTGCCTCTGTCCCTTCACGGAAGAACTTCAAAGTCAAAAAACACACTTCTCACGCTTGGTCAGCGGGTCCTGTGCTGCAAGCAATGGCGGCAATCTCACCATACACCTACCAGGTGTGTGAAATTCTGAGCTGGTGACCGGCTGATGGGGTGTCAAAAGATGGGCACTATTCAATGATAAGTGTGAATGTGCGCTGTACAAGGGCAGAAGGTAGAGCCAAATGATCATCAATGGGTGTGAAATAGTTTTAGGAATTTTTTTCAGCAGGTTTGGGATTTTTTTTTGGATTTCTTGGCTGGTACCATTTGCCTAGTGTTTGCAACGGTTTGGAACTTGAATTTGTCATTTTGCATGGTATTTGCCACATTTGGGCATGTTCACCTTCCATTTTGCATGGGATTTACTACATGTGGGCATGTTCACCTTCCATTTTGTATGGTATTTGCCACATTTTGGCATGTTCACCTTCCATTTTGCATGGGATTTCCTACATGTGGGCATGTTCACCTTCCATTTTGTATGGTATTTGCCACATTTTGGCATGTTCACCTTCCATTTTGCATGGGATGTTCTACATGTGAGCATGTTCACCCAAATATTTACAGATGCAGAAGCTTGGGATTAGATAAAAAGCGGGTGGGGGGGATTGAGGGAGGGCGCTAGCTATCTATCCAGCTAGCTAGCTATCTAGCTATCTATCTAGCAAGCTAGCTATCTATCTAGCAAGTCTATCTATCTATCTATCTACCTATCTAGCTAGCTATCTTGCTAGCTATCTATCTACCTATCTAGCTATCTAGCTAACTATCTATCTAGCTATCTAGCTATCTAGCTTTCTATCTATCTAGCTATCTATCTATCTAGCCATCCAGCTGTCTATCCAGCTATCTAGCTATCGAGCTATCTAGCTAACTATCTATCTAGCTATCTAGTTATCTAGCTTTCTATCTATCTAGCTATCTATCTATTTAGCCATCCAGCTGTCTATCCAGCTATCTAGCTAACGAGCTATCTATCTAGCTATCTATCTATCTGGCTAACTATCTGCCTATCTATTTAGCTATCTATCTATCTATCTATCTAGCTATCTATCTAGCTACCTCTTTATCTATCTAGCTAGCTATCTATCTAGCTATCTATCTATCTAGCTATCTATCTAGCCATCTATCTATCCAGGTATCTAGCTATCTATCTCTCTAGCTATCTATCTATCTAGCTGGCTATCTATCTATCTAGCTATCTATCTATCTATCTATCCAGCTATCTATCTATCTATCTATCTATCTATCTATCTATCTATCTATCTATCTATCTATCTATCTATCACATGTAATCCTGTCAGCTTTCCAGAGAAGGTTAGTTCGCAAAAACCAACTAATGTAACTTGGGTTTAAGTTTAAATTAAAAAAAGCGGGAGGGGGGGATTGGGGGGAGGGCGCAGCGCCTCCCCCCAAAGCAGAATGCAAGCACCTCTTCTCACATGTTACGTTGCTAGTTTTCAAGAGAAGGTTGGTCATGTGATACTCAGGGATGTAAATACTGTGCAAAATGCATCTTACATGAAAATCAAGTATTTAAAGCAGGCAAAGCAAAAAAAAGCAGAGAAGCAAAAAAGCAGAGAAGCAAAGAAACAGGAAACGCACAAAAGCAAAACAGCAGAAAGGCAAAGAAGCAGGAAAAGCAGAAAAGCAGAGAAGCAGGAAAAGCAGGAAAAGCAGAGAAGCAAAGAAACAGGCAAAAAAGCAGAAAAGCAGAGAAGCAGCAGAGAAGCAGGAGAAGCAGAAAAGCAAAAAAGCAGAAAAGGCGAGAAGCAGGAGAAGCAGAAAAGCAAAAAAGCAGAAAAGCAGAGAAGCAGGAAAAGCAGGAAAAGAAGGAAAGCAGAGAAGCAGGAAAAGCAGAGAAGCAGGAATCCAAAAATAATTCCTAAACCTGATCAAAAAAAAAATCCTAAAATAATTAGCCCTCCATCATCAATCATCCATTTCTGGTCCATTTCTGATCCATTTCTCATCCAATTCTTATCCAAGTCTTTGAAGCAAATGCATCTGCGAGGAAAAACCTGCAGCTGGAGACGCTTTCAGACTCTCAGCACATTCATCTTGGCCTTCGTCCATGGACTCCAACAGTGTACTGGCTACATTGGCGAACAGAGTTGATGCAGCAAGGAGGGCAAGTTGTTCTGTGCTATCAGGCCTCGAACGAGTCAAATACGGGTGCGTTGATCTGCTTCTGATAACAAACGTGTGGTGATGGCAATTGTTTTTTTGAATTCTTAAGCCAATTACATGACTCGCGGGTTGAGTATCATGTCTTTAAATTATCCAAGGCTTTTAGGGAGGCCTTATGTATAGGTATCATTGGTGCTTGGTGCACTCTCCAGTTCCTGTTGGCTGGTTCACCGATTGTCTGAACATATTCACTTTCATCGCATTTCCTTGCTTCTTTTGACCCTAGCTGCACAGTCTGACACAAGATGTGGGAAGCAAGTCATAGAAGGCAAAACATCCCTCAACATCTTTGTCTCCAACTGGGGTGGCATTCACATAGGTTCACACATACACACACACACTCAAAAACAGCCCCTGCGAAGCTGTTTTCAAAGGTTGCAAGGCTCAGGCACTCGGGCGGAAAGTCTGAAAGTATACAGCTAAAGCTTGGGGTCTTGTTGTTCGGCAACAGCACTGGATAAATGTTCCGCCCAAGATCATTTCATTGGACATAAAAACTAGCGCACCTCTACCAGACTCTATGGATTGCGTCTGGTGAGGTGGGAGACGAGTGATATGAAGTCTTGGCTTGCATGTTTTGTGGTTTCCACGTTTACAATTGTATCATTTGATTCATCTAGAGATTCTTCACCAAGGTCAACGTATGTCAGAGTTGAATCAAAAGACTTCTTCGCATCTCTCCCAGCTGAATTGCGCATCTACAGAGCAGTGTGCAACTTGTGACATATCAACAACTGCAGCCGAGTATGTAAGGCAATGCAATCGAACTTGTAAAAGGGTCGCGAAAACAACACTCAATCTGCCTGCTTTCCTGTAGAATGCAGTCTGCAAAGCTCAAGAGCTTGCAAGTTCATTTCGCGTCACTTACCTTTGAACGATCAAAGGCGCTTAATTAGAATGAATTGCAGAAATTCACGCAACATGGGGTGATGCGATGGAAAGCATATTCTCAGCTTGCTTATCAGCACCAGATTCAAAGAATACAAACATAGCATGACGACAAATATATTTTCGTCACCACATGGATCCGATGTACTCTGCATCACCAGCCAGGTCAGCCTGGTGCCTGGTCAGCTTTTTCGCCGCTCGATCCGATCTGCTTCCGAGCGGTGAGACGCCGGTGCATCAGAAGACAACTGGTGGACTTCGCTTCAGTTTGTCGAGCAAGGTCCTGACAAAGCTGAAAAAACGTGGGGAAAAAGGGGGTGCTGCAAGAATGGAGGGTTCAACACAAGTCAAACTATTCTGGTGAGCAAACTATCCTTACACTATTCATCTATTATATACACATTACTACCTGTATATACAGATCATATGGAGCTTTCCCAAACTGGGTACCCCTAATCATCCATTTCTACATTGATTTTCAAAAAATAAAATAAATACACCGATGTGAAAGTAAGCGGCACCGAAAACACTTTTCAGGGCCATTTAATAGATGGCGCGGACACCGGTATTTGGAACAAACGAAATCTGAGAAAATAACCGAATCTGACCCAAGTGAAGGTAGATGGCGCAACCCGCTGGTGTTGCGCCATCTACTTATGCCAGATTCTATCTAAATGTGCGCTCACATGCATACACCAGTGACATGTGAGTTGCGCCATCTATGTGGCTGCAATATGGGGAGGTTCCCCGTGTGCTTCTGGAGTTGCGCCATCTATGGCAGTGGCAAGCATAACCAAACTGCACACACCCCGCTCGCGAAAACTCCACAGATTCAACCATGTTCGCCGAATACTAAGTATGTATTTGCGGTTTTGCGTGGGAAAAAGATGGCTCAGGTGCGCAGGCTATATTGATGCGAGTTGCGCCATGTATGTTGGCCCCCCGGGGGGCCAAAGTACATGGCGCAACTAGTGTATTCTGCGCCACTTACTTTCACCCCGAAGTACACCATCCAGCTATTACCCCCAGCCATCAGGAAACCCCCATGTATCAAGGTCTCCTCAGAATCAACAGCACGTTCTCGGCTCATCAGCCTTTCCTGGCATGTGCTCCACAGGTGAATAAGAATGACATTGTACCATAATCTGCCCAGTAAGATCTGCCCAGTAAGGTGTATACTGCAATATATATATATATATACATATATACATATGTATTTATATATATATATATATATGTATGTTATTGTAGATAACATTAATGTATATCAATGTACTGTATATACTGTATATATAATATAGCCCGCCACCACAGAGTAATCTTGCCAATCTCTTTCCTCTTAGTCAATCACTATGATTCAATCCCAAGTCACCATTGGTTGGAAAGGCACTACCCATGAAATCTTTCCCCACCAAAAGTGCGAAACAATTCCCTGATTCCATGTGTCCAATCATGTCCAATCAAACAATGTGTGGGCGTCACATCCAGTGAAGCGAGTTCCAGTGGAGCACCTCCCGATCCGCCAGTGCGGCTTCTTGCTCTTTGACTAGACTCAGATTTTCTGCCTGGAAGCTCCACAGCTCACCGAGTCAACAAGAAGAGCGAATCCAAGTAGTGGAAAAATGTGATGCTATCTGTCTACGTTTTTGGGGTTACTTGTACATGTATGTTTACACACATAACAAGAAACCATGGGTGCATGTTGAGCAAGCTTCACCTCAGGCTCAAATTCAAGACTAGGCGGCTCTTTTTTCCGCGACCCGCTTGGCTGATCAGACCAACACAGTCTGACTCAACTCCTTATGAGAGAAGGGAGATTTCAATGATTTCCACACATCAGCGTATCCAATGTCTTCCCAGAAGTCGCACTGAACCTGATGATAATGCTGCATCTTACCGGGGCCGTCCAAATTCCAGGAGGTGCTAAAATCATGCCGCTGGTCGTATGGAATGAAGGAAAGCGACTGTCCACCAGCAAAGTCAATGATGGCTTTTGCATAGGTTTCAGCCAGCTTTGATTCCTGTTCATTTGCATATGCCAGGTGTGTGCGGGATGACATTCTCTGAGACACGGGAATCTGATACGAAATATCTGCAGCATGGCAACTGGCCCCATCTGGTGGTCCCTGAACACAGATCTTATTCTGAAGCATCTGACTGCTATGAGGCTGCACCATGAAGGTGGACAAATAGCTGACCCCTCCATGGACTGCCAAGGCCCGTGCCACGTAGCGCCCGAAGCAGGTCATCAAGGCATCGGTCGTGGCAAGCCCTGCACGCTCAGCCCAGGTTATGGAGGTCACGGAGCCGGAGTAAAATTCCGTGACTTTCCCTGCACGATCGTCAAAGAGAAGATCCAGCACTTTGTCATACGCAAGGCGATTGTTTCCTAACTTCATGAAGATTGAAGGAACAAATGCTAGCATCTCGTTGGTCACCGTACTGATTATGGTTGGGACTATGTTGTGCAGCTTTCTCTCAATAGCCACCACTGGGTTCAGTGGAAGCGTTTGCGGGTCAATAATGGGCAACCAAGCCAAGACATTGGCACATTCAGGACATGGAGCCGTGAAATGTCTCAAATACTCAGGTACTACATCTACATCTCGTAGAGCTTTTGCCGGCCGTTTTTGGAGGCAAAGGGTCACATTTCCAGTGCATAGCAAGCTGTGAGCCACCGAACGTACAAACTCATCATTTTCTGGTCGATCTCTGTAGTGGAGGCCAACTGGTGAATTGGCCATGGCACCGTGGAACAAACCGGCAGAGCTGGGGGCAGCAACATGACAAAGGACAGACATAGCGCCTGCACTTTGCCCCATCAAAAGCACTTGGTCAGGATCACCCCCAAACGCCCTGATATTCTGCTGAACCCATCGCAGCAAGAGTTGCTGGTCTTGAAACCCCACATTTGCTGCAGTGCCATTCCAGGAGAAAAAACCAAAGATACCCAGGCGATAATTGAAGGTGACAAGGATGGCTGGGGCTTCTTCGTTTGTCACGAAAGCATCACCCCAGAAGTTTGGCGTTGCACCACTGTTTCGTACAAAGCCACCTCCATGGATGAAAACGACCACGGGCAATGGCTGCAATTCTTTCCCTTTCGGGACCCACACGTTGGCATACAGGCAATCCTCACTCTCCACATATGATTCTAAGGGATCTGGATCATGATGGCTGAAGCCATGAATGCAGGAGTTCCCAAATTTGGTTCCGTTCCAGGTACCAGTCCAAGGCAACTTGGCATGCGGGGCTTCGAATCTCTGAGGTGGTTCAGAGTATGGCACGCCTTTAAAAGCCAAAAAGCCGCCATAGTCTTTGCCTAAGACTTTGCCCAATGGAGTCTCCACCTCTAGAGAATCGAGCGCCAAGGCAGGACAAATTAGCAGCAGCAGCCACATCACATTAAAGCGCAGCATCTCTCTAGCTGTAGCACTTCTGTATTTGGATTAGGTAGGTCTGGAGGGCCTTAATAAATGTCATCTAAGTTAGATCCAGATGTCATCCAAGTTACATCTATATAGATGTCCTTGAACCCGAAGAGGCCTTCTGGTTTCTTCCTGCTCTGTGTGTATTGCAGTGTGCTATTGTGACTTTGCAAACATGCACAGGGATGTCAGCGCCTGCACTCATCTGCAATTCTCTTGAGCTCACAAGAATTGCTGCGAATGGTGCTTGCCAAATGTTCAAGTAGCTCGTCAGACAGCGCAAGTAGTTCAAGTCCTACTTTACATGCTTCTGCCTTGCACTGAGTTCCACGTTCCGTTCATTCCTAGCTTCTTTCAATGCCACCTGCTGTGCCTCTGACCGCATTTCAAGCTTCTCTGTGGTGAATTGGAGGGATCAACAGACTCAACAAACTCAGATTGGTTTCTTCACCCATCCACCATCCACCCATGAAATTCCCATCTTAAGTTTGACCGCCTTTTGCATCTTCAGCTCCTCCTCAAAGGACGCCAAGCGCCGCTCTCGTTCGGCCAAGCGCTGGTCCTCCTCGGCCTGGCCACGTCGATATCATGTTTGATGTTGATGACATTCTGCTTGATGATCTTGATATTATAATATATTATAATATATTGTTATCTAGATCCAAGAGCCATGCTCTTGGGGCCATCTTCTGACTGGTACGATCATAGGTTCTTATCAAAGGGACGAATGGTACGATGAAGCCGGTACGATGGTACAACTCACGAGTACGAACAGGACAATCTCTGGGTGCAATGGGGCAGCTGTGGTGCGACGAGGGAGCGCACCAGCGGTGCGATGACTACAATCAAAAAACACAACTACTAATAATAATGAACAATATTCAAAATTCAAAAATATATAACATAATATAACATAATATAACATAATATAACTATAAATAAAAGAAAAAAAGACAGAAATTATAATCAATATCAATTTTATGTAACCAAAGAGACATGCATAACATCACTGGGTTTCTTGAAGTTTCGCTTGATGTGTGACGTGAAGAATGATAGGTCAGAGCGCGCTCGGTGTTCCACTTCCTTTTCCCCGATCCCCTGTCGATCTAGGGCTGCTGCACATGGGATTCAAATGGATTGTTTCATCCAAATCCAGAACCACTTAGTGGTCGATTACCTTCCATAGCCTCTCAGCAGCTAATGAATCACCTTTTGGCGCTTCAAAGCTGAAAGGAGAGAATTCACTTCTGCCTCCTGCTCTTCCTCTGAACTGGTCACATAGCGAAGTTCCAACAAGATTGCCAAAAAGATGGCCAACATAACCGTGCTGGAGAACCTTGGTGAATGCACATCCATTGGCTACACAGCTGCAAGTGAAACCAAACTGAACACTACCAGATTACAGCTACCAGTTGACCAGATTTTGAACAAGCAACGCATTTCCTCCCAATGAGCAAAGTGTTGGCTCACTGATCTCACAAAGATCATGTTCTGCAAATTGGAGCCCTTGCAAATGAAGGCCTTCTCGGCCTTAGAGTCGGAGATTACCCAAGATCCTTACTATGGAGAAATATAGTCAAATTATGTATCTTATCTGAATCTTATCTAATCATAACTTGACTCGACATTAAAGAAGTACTGTAAGCTTTAAGTAAACAATAGTGTGTGGCACATTGGCTGACGCATTGGTGTACAGTGTACATCAAAACAAAAGTGAAACTGAAACATTGAAGTTGGCACGGCTGACACACACAAAAAAAAAACTAAAGCAAAGGCGGGATTGCCCAGAACAAGTCTGCAGCCCTCCAGGTCAAAGAGTTTTGAGCTGGGCAATAATGTAGGGATCTCCTCTGCCACTCCACCTGAAGCCTGAAATCTTACCTTTACTTTAGTAAATTAGCAACTTACAACTGGAGCAAGTCAGGTACCGCGGTCTACCGAGTTTGTCTTGAAATTGAGACATGACCGAATCATGAAATATGCTCCTTGGCGGAGCTCGTGGGAGTACGACTTGCAGACTGATAGATGTCACCGTAGCGAATGATTTCGATTCCCTTCTTCTTGCTAGCCTTCATCGTTTCCCTCTCATGGTCGAGGAAGATCACGTTCTCAGTTCAAGCGGGGGTCCAAAGTAACTGAACGTCACCAGCAATCACACTGATACATTCACAACAGCGACACTAGCTACAATGCTACAACTGCAAAGACATTGGCAATCAAATCACCGACCCCGACACCTAATCTGCTTCAACAAAATGTCGTCCAAGATTCTTCGCGCTCACGAAAGCTGAGTGACTGAAACCAAGCATCATTGGCAAAGCGAGGTGGTACAGGCAGAGGCCATGACAGCCCTCCTGAGAACCAATCGTTTGCACAACATTAAATTGCACAAGTCATCCAACCATCAAAGTCATCTTATGTTGATTATTCTTAGTTTAAAGTTTAAAGTTTAAAGTAGTTCAAAGTTTAAAGTTTAAAGTTTTAAAGGTCTGTTGGGCTAAGCCACTCTTTGCTGCGATCTCCATATGCATCCCTTTCCACTTTGGTGTATCTTTCTCCACTAGTCCATCTAAGGTCTCTCTGTCAGCTTTCTTCGTCTTTGGCCCGTCTTCTTTGTTTGCCTTGAGACGGAGCCTGCGCTCTAACTCGGCAGCCACCATCGGATGATCTTTTGGCAGAAAAAAGTGATCCTAACTCAGAGTTTGAAAGTTGGAAGATCCAAAAAAATGCAACTGAATGTCAAAAGAAAACAAACCTTGCAACGAAAACACTGAACTGAACTTAACAAATCAAGCTTCAGGCGGTTGGGTTTTCAATTTGAAAGCATTCAACCACATCTCGATGTTACGGAACGCCGACGCCTCTTGAGTCGACTTCTGCAGCCCCACGAAAAACAATCGCACCCGTCGCTGGGGCAGTCCGTAATCTAAGGTGCAAAGTTTGTATACCTGCACATGGTATCCATGAGGCCCTGAACTTTCCAAAGCCTTGATAATCATGTTGAGATTGCTGGCGTCGTCCTCTCCCGCTGACTCCATATCCACATTCTCCAATGTAAAAAAATCAACGGAAATCTTGTCCAAGAATGTTTTCACGGCCTTGAAGGTCACGAATGAGCTGGAATCCTGATCAACAAGTGCACCGGCCAAACAGAACAAAACCGGTGAGTGTATGCAGCAGGTTCAGGAAATGTATCTAGTTGATAGTTGATACTTGATACTTGAAACTTGGGACTAATACTTACTTGATAACCATGCAAAAGATATCCAATTCAGAGTTAACTTTTCAACATCAGGTCCTCATTTTCATCGGCCATCGCGGTGAGCATTGTTTGGAAATGAATGTTGAGCTTGGACAGACTTTTGCAAGAAAACCCACCATTGAAAGTCCATAGTGGCATCGACGGTCGGTCCTTGACTGCATGGGATCTAGGTTTGATGATCGAATTTAATTTTGAAACCAATCGCCGAATTTTGCTGCAGTGAAAAATGCGAAACCCCATCAGAATCAAAACGGTTCCAAACACATCACAAAACAAGAGTCGCAAGCGCCACCATGCCGTGCACATTCTCTGCGATCGTCATCAAAAATCTTCGTGGCATCAGTAAAGATACAACACGTTCTATCGGAAGATGTTTGCATCAAAAAGTGTTGCTTGGCCTTCTCGATCTCACAAAGGAATTCATGCGACGCCTGCCATTGCTTGTTCAAATCTCAAGTATATAATTTGCAAAACAAAACTTCAACTAAATTAAATTAATTCCAATTGAATTGAATAAACACCTGCAGTTTTTTCTACTTACTTATTGTGTTGGTGAGATCAGGTTGATGTACACAAGCCAAAAGTCAAATGTCCCTATACTTGACTCTCGACTCTTGATGAACACAGTGAAAGAATCAAAACATACCAAAACAAACCAAACTCAAGCCAGCACACTTCTTTGTGTGACATTTCCTCCGGAAACTGCTTCTTGAGGACTCGAATGACCACGTCGACCACCTTGCCAAAAGTGCCAGCCCCTGAAAACATATCGGCAAAGCTCAAGTGATTAGGCAAAGATCGGATGCGGTCCGAGAAGGCTTTCTGCCCAATGCGATCGATGGCCGTCTTGATCATGATCTGCCAAGTTGGAACAAACGAGAATTATATCAAGCTGGAACAAACGAGAATTCAAACAACAAACCAGACCCTAGCCGCCCTAGCCTCAGCCGAACTTTCCAAAATTCGGTTGATGTCTGGGTGCTTGTCAGAAGGTGGGGCAGGATAATCATGAGATGGTGTATAGTGGACTTCGCCAGGAGTTTCTGTCGCAATCTCACTGCCTAGCTGCGTCTCTGGCTCTCCATTAACTTTGTCTTTGTCGTCATTATCAGCCCCATCCTCCTCCTCCTCATTGTCTTTCTCATTGGTCTTCGGCACCTCATTTGCCTCCTCAGCTTCCTCTGATTCACAACAGTTGACAAAGATCTCAAATGCTTCTAGATCTTTTTGTGGATCGGCTTTGGGATCACCAAATTCCAAACATTTGTCGCCTTGTTCTGCCTTCATGTCTGCCATGACTGTGGATTCAAAGAGTGGGAACTTCGGATGCAACTTGGCTCGTTCAACTTCAATTCGGAGTTCTTCGTGGCGCTGGGCGACGAAAAGATCGAAGAAATCCAAGTCAGCTTGTTGATCACCATCCGGATCTCCCCACGGAACATATTCATCCCCCAACTCACTCTTCAACTTTGCAAGTTCGGAATCTTCAAACAGAGCAAACAACCGATGAGTCTTTGCAAGAGCGATCTGTTTCTCGAGAGTTGCAGATTCAACGGCCATCTCATCATTCATCAAAGTTTCCAACGCTTCTGACAAAGAGATCTCTGCGCAATCTACATCCTCCGCAATCAAAAACATGGGCCTATGCAAGCAACAAAAGACTAAAACCATGCGCAACCAATCGGTTATGATTATGATCTGACCAAAGTCAAATTACGTCAAATTCAAACTTGAAGGTGGTTCAGGTCAACCCTAACTTTCCTTGGTGCCAGCACGGGCTTCCACAATGGACAAGTCTGCTGCAGCTGCTGCATCTGGATGTTGAGCATCCTGTGCTGAACTCGCATGAGCTGATTCTGAAGCACGAGCTTCCACTGTTGAATCCGCACTGCGACTCTGATCTTGTTCTGGAGCAGCAGGAGTTTCATCTGTTGACGGTGCATTGCTACAAGGGTCTGGTTCTGGAGCAGAAACTTCCTCCTGTGAATGGAAAGCACCACCAACAATTATCATAGTATCAGTGTAATTAATAATATATTATAATAATTCATATATCAATATCAACTTGGCATGATGAATACGACATATTCATATAAATTTTCTGACAACACAAAACAAAAACATGAACATGTTTGCACCCATCCTCAAGTGCACCAACGGAGCTGGAAGCAGGACGAGTCAAGTCGTTTTCCTTTCGGATGACAAAGGTCTTCCACTGCTCCTTGTACTTGTTCTTCATGGTCTCTGACAATTCTGGGATACTATCGTCCTTAGCCTTAGATTTGCCTTTAGGTTTTGCACCAGGCGGCTTTGGCACCATTGACGACTTAGATCCTTTCCCCATGGCAACGGGCACTTGACAACACTCCTGATGGATTCACATGTTGCATAAATCATGTTGCTACTAACTATGGCCTATTGACTCGCAACTTGCCTACTACCGTAAAATTCATCTTTCATTCAGTTTCAGCGACAAATGTGCCTGAGTCATCCTTGGTCCAAATGAAACAAAACATCAAACTCAAAACTTGAAACATGAAACATCGGAGCTCAAACAATGAAACCGACAGGAACCGCTACAGCAATGGCACATAGAAGCAACTTGAAGCAACATATATTTTCTCAGCATGCTCGATCGTCGAATGAATCAAGTCCACCCGTTGTCGTCCAAGTTGAGTTTAGACTCGGACCTGACTTAAACAACTGCAGTTACCTTGTCTTGTGAGAGTTGCGGTTTGTCGAACCTCTCAGAGTAAGGCAAAGAACAACATAAAGACCCTTCGTTGGGGATCATAATTGACCCAGACTCTCCCCAGCACCCTATGGGTTCCAACGAGAGCGTCAAGCTGAGAAAACTAATTTACGTTTGCAACGTTCCCCCTGGGTTAGACTTTGGCAGAACCTCCGCCGATTCCATCACAATCACTCTTTCACCACGCACCGAAAGGAAACAACATATCAATTAATCAATAGCTAATCACATTGACGCAAGGAAAATGATTCGAAAGCAAGTTTGGTACTGAAAAAGTTCAAGTTGAGCGGTCCTGCCACCTAGCGCTACTCAGACTCTAATCTGACTTTCCGGGCTTAAGGAAATGTAAGGCTTTTGCCTGTAACGCTCCGGGAATGTTCAAACTAAGCTCAGTGCAACTGTTCATCGTCTCATTCAAGGATTTGATCAACACAGCCGGCAAGGGAGACTTTGACTCCAACGCCTTTGTTGCCCTTTTCGATCCCAAAGTCTTGACCACGGTGATGATGGCCATGAGAGAAGTTGCCATGTGGTGGATAGACTTGGCCTGCAAACACATAACACTAAGGAAAATAACAAGCCACATGAACTCATGAACCGTCATCAACAAACAAACAAAACTACAAAAAACAAACTTTACAAAACAAATTCGGTCCTCAGCGAACTGATCTTTCAAAGATTCGATGGTCATGCCATTCTTCAATACTGCCTGCCGTACATTCATGTGAGCACTGAATGAGCACCAACACGACAAAGCAACAGCTAGAAGTGATACTCTTTGTCATGCAAATTCCCAGTTGCTGAAACCATAACTAGTATAGCGCTTACTTATCAGCAAGCCAGTGAAACATACACGCCTCGATTGCATCCAGTTCATCTTGAAGAGCACAGGTCAGCTTGCATAGTGTATCAGATTGCCCGCTCACACGCGTCAAGTCCTCTGAGCCAGACATCAATGGCATGCCGTTCGGTCCATCAGGAATCGTCAAAGATGATGGGTCTGGCAAATTGAGAGCCTTCAATGGCGCAATGGAGTTGCGCAGCTTTTCATCCTGCTGGCGACTGCGCAGGCCGTGTCCTACATCCCTTCGATAAACACGCTATCAAGTCGATCATAAAGTATGTAAAAAAAGTAAACATGAATTCTGTAACAACAACAAATATAAATATTCAAAACAAACTAACATATGTATTGATTTCATAAACCAAACCTTCTCATTTCATTAAACTTAACTTACGTCATTTTGTCTCCATCCCACCTTGATCTGGAACCATCCCGTCACCATCTGGTCAACGTCTGAGATGTATTTGTCAAGTGCAGTCTGCAACTCTGATGGAGTAAGCTGCTCCGATGTGACCGACGAATCAGCCTTGATGGCACACAGCTCTCCATGGAAATCGTTTCGGTCGCGGACATGCATCAAAGTCGGCTTTGCACGAGCGAGCTCCGCAACACACGAGTCAAGATCCGCAACTGTGCCTCACAGGAAGAACCAATCATACTATGCCTTTCAGTGTAAGGTTTGTCTAAAAGCACATGTATATAAATGTTTTGGGGTACACTTGTAATTGTATAGTAAATGTAAATACATATACTGTATTTTTGTTTTTTTTGGTTGATTGTATTCCAAAGGTATGTCAATCAAAGTTGGCTGAACACAATTTCAAAACAAAAGTAAGATGTTCTGTTCAACTGTTGACAACGACCAACAACATCAGCTAGCCTTTTGCAGCACTGGCAAGAGCATTGCACAGGCCCGACAGATCTAACAAGAGCTGGCGATCGGGAAGTTCACCAGGTAGAGCTGCTGCATGAAGCTGTAACTCCTCGACCTGCTTGCTATGATCCTTTGGGAACTCCTTGCCTTCTTTGACATGAGCAATCAGCACAGCCATGAGCTTTGCCCCATAAGCCTTTGCCGTCGACGATGTTGCGCTGTTCTTGAGCTGTCCCAAGGATGAGTGCAATGCTCTCCATGAGTCTGTGATGCCCTGCCACTCGCTAGCTTTGTGCTGCAATGCTGACGACGATAAAGTTTCCTGCGTAAGAAAAGTTCAACTTTTATGATTCTATGTATTGATTATTCCCCACCTGCCAGGTGAGGGTTGTTAGATTTTATCTAAGTTGCCTGCTCCTCCTCCTCCTCTCCTCCTCCTCTCGTCGTCCTCCTCCTCTCGTTGTCCTCGTTGTCCTCCTCGTCCTCCTGCTCAACTGCGACTCGCGATCCACAGTGTTCGCTGCCGGACCTCAACCACGACCATCCACGCCCAGTGTTCCTTGCCGGACCTCAACCACGACCATCCCCGCCCAGTGTTCCCTGCCGGACCTCAACCACGACCATCCACGCCCAGTGTTCCCTGCCGGACCTCAACCGCGAGTATCCACGCCAAGTGTTTCCTGCCGGACCTCATGAGATATGCCAGATAGAATGCCAGAAGATATGCCAGATGGAATATCAGATAGAATGCCAGAAGATATGCCAGATAAAATGCCATGAGATATGCCAGATAGAATGCCAGAAGGTATGCCAGATAAAATATCAGATAGAATGACACAAGATATGCCAGATAGAATCCCAGAAGATTTGCCAGATAATATGCCAGAAGATATACCAGATAAAATGCCAGAAGATATGCCAGAACATATATCAGAAGATATGCCAGATAGAATCCCAGAAGATTTGCCAGATAATATGCCAGAAGATATGCCAGAAGATATGCCAGATAGAATGCCAGAAGATATGCTAGAAGATATGCCAGAAGATATACCAGAAGATATACCAGATAGAATGCCAGAAGATATGTCAAAATATATGCCAGAAGATATGCCAGATAGAATGCCAGAAGATATGTAAGATAGAATGCCAGAAGATATGCCAGATAGAATGCCAGAAGATTTGCCAGATAGAATGCCAGAAGATATGTCAGATAGAATGCCAGAAGATTTGCCAGTAAGAAAATGTAAAAATGTCACGGTGGGGATCACACGAAGTAAAGTAATTGATATATCTTGTGTTTTTATTATTATTAACTATTATTTTATTGTTAACATTACTTTATCTTTTGAATTATCAAAATCTAAACCTAAACGACTTAAATTGATTTCGCAAAGTCTTTGAAACAAACCTCTCCTGCAGCTTGTTGATGTGCATGAGGAACGTGTTGAGGGTCATGCCAAACATACCCGAATCATATGAGCCAACTTTGGCATTCACCGTTGCTTTGGAGATCACATCCAAAGAATCCAGAAAGCTTTTCAATGGTCGAAAACTCTCCAGAGATCCCAGGCTCTTCAATCCAATCCACTGGACTGAAGAAGGCGACGCCATCACTTGAGTGCTAGAAAGAGAATCCAAAGCGTCGGCGACATATGGCTGCACCTGCTGAAAATGATGATGAAATCAAAAGTATAATCAAAAGTATAGCAGGTAACAATGTAGCAGCAAGAAAATCATAGGGGCCAAAGAGATCAAATGAAACTAATGAAACAATGACATCCCCTTATGCAAACAAAACAACAACCTGCCTGTGTTGCGGTAGTGTACAACGCCACCAACAATGTTGCTTCTTTCAGCTGTGCACTCATCTGCATGAAGGCTGGCTTTCCCAATGATTTCGATCGGAACTTGTCTTTTTTCAGCTCTGCTAGTAAGGAGTTCGCTTCGGAGATGTGCTTGCACCTCTGAAGGTTTTCAAAAAGACGAGAAAATTAATGACACCAAACATACTACCATTGATACATCAAAAGAACCCTCACATACATTAGAATACATTAACGACTGATATTGCCATGTTCTCAGGTCTTTTTCGTTATATTGGTAAGTCAAGCCAAATTGCACTCAAAAAAGACAAGCTACATATCATCAACGTTGTCCGGCTCGATTTCATTAAACTCTTCCGGTAGCTTGTCCAATGCTTCTTGCAACGCATTTAAATCACCAAGCTCGGTTTCTCGCAGCGAAATCATGGACTCTGCATCTGCAAGCAGCTTCGATGCCAAATTGGAACTCTGCAGCGATGCAAGCATCAAGCAGTCGGCTTTCCTTGTGGATTCGGACATAGACATGTGACATGTGACATAGACATGCAGACATTGATGGACAAGCAACCTAAATTGAAACAAAAAGAAACACATGTAGTTTAAATGACCTTTGATTTTCTCGATCCAAAAGAAATATCATTAATTGTTAAAATGATTCTGACCAGTGGCTCCGCTTTGTTCTTCACCAACTCTTCCAAAGCCTGCAGCGCTTGTTTTGCAGGAGGAATAGGACTGGAATCAGCCCTTAGCAACGTGAGGACCATGCCGACATCATCTTTCATGGTCGCTGAGATGAACTTGTCTGCCCTTGACAAGGTTTCAAGAAAGTTCTCCACAGTCACCAACTCCTTCTTGTTGACAGGCGCAAAGATTGGCTCCTCACCAAGTTAAGAGTATAAAATGTTCAAGTCACAGTCGAAATTCTGAAATTGTGAAATCATTAGATGTTAAAGTGTTAAGTTAAAACTTAAAACTGAAACCAAAAAACACACAGTAGTGACGTCTCCTTCGACTTCAAACCAGTGTTCTTCCCCAGTCTCATGAGCTGCTGTGAACAACATACATGCAAGAAATTATGAAAGTCAACTGGATCGGTGGTGGGCACGCTGCAACGCTGATGGATGGTCTCGAACGTCGTTGAAGTCAGCGACTCCCAGTTGCATAGCTTCACGTCTTCAAAAATCAAGGATTTGAATGCTTTCCGAAGAACGACCGAGTTGTATTTCACACCTCCGTCAGCAGCTTGGTCAAGAGCGCTGAGCATGTTCATCTTGGCATCCAATTTTGAAGTTCCTTGCAAACCTCAGCAAACATCAGAAAGAATGAACTGAGTGGAACTGGTTAGCAGGGTATAGTATGGTTACAGCTGCATCCTGCTAAAAAGGAAACTAAAAAAATAAGACATCGGCACCATCAACCCAAACCAGACTGAATGGAACAACAAGATGCATTTGATGAAATGGCTATGCTCCTTGATCTTTTCCTCCAGCTCCACCATGCCTTGGTAGAAGGGGTCTTTCTCCTTGTTGGTTCGGCGAGAAAGACTCTTCTTCTTCAGCCGCAAATCCTGCGCCAAGGAACCAAGATTGGTCAGCATCTCCTGAAAGTACTTCTTGAAACCATCATCTGCAAGAGGTGGCTCCAAATTCAAAAACACTTCGAACTGCTGCTGGTATCCGTTCAATGATTCACGATCAGCTTTGCTCATAAGACCGGCTTCGTCGTCGGTGTTGGCTCGGTCGGGTTCAGAGTCTTCATCATCCTGCAGTTTTCTTTGAGTGACTAGCGACGAGACGAGACTAGACTCGACGCTGGACAAAGTTCAAAACAAAAACTGCAATCAACACAACCTGAACAAACATCATCTTGAATATATGGTATGTTTAGCGACAGTGACAACAAGGATTCATCAACAGCACCTGGCCTCAACCTTGTCAGCTTTTCGCTTTCGGTTTGCCTTCCCAATAGCTTTTGTGTTTCGGGTGGAAGCTTTCGCCTTGGCCTTTGCAGCAGCCTTTGGTGCTCTGGCTGATGCTGCTTTGACGGCAGCTGTCTTGGCTTTTGGCTCTGCTCTCTTGGGGTTGGTGTCAAACCGAGACTTCAGAAGTCTGAAGATTCCAACAGCCTCATTCATGTCATCATCATCAGATCCATCATCATCAGCTGCCTCAGTTCCTGCTTCATCATTGGGGTTCTCCGTTTCCATTGGCTGACAACGATCGGGTCCTTTGCTCGAAGAGGATCCAGACCCATGAAAAAGAGGAACAGACTGAGTATATGACTGTTTTGGAAGGATCTGCTTTGTGGCTGCTTTGGCAATTCTGTCCAAAGCAGCGCCTGTTGGGTCCAAATCACAAGTTTTGTCACTCAAGTCTGTCACTCGTCTCACTGTGCTTGTGCTGCGATCGACTCGCTTGTGCCAACCTTTGCGTCCTGTAAGAACATTCACGCCTGCAATTCTGGAGCCATTCGCCCACTCATAGACAATGGCATTCTCTTCCGGTGCTGGAAACTCCTTCAAGTATTCACTAAGTTCAACCCAATGTGATTCAGGTTTCTCAAGCCCCTGTTCCTGCTGCTGGAGGGTTTGCACAATGTCATTGAATGGAGCGACCGTCTGTTCAAGCCTCCAACGACAATTTGGATCCTGCTGCTTCAACTTCACAACATTGGTGCGCATGACCTGGGATGTGTTTTTCCAACCACGAAAAGGCACCACACCACCTGCCACCCCACCCATCACCACCTACCAACCATTCATGCAAACAAAGTTGCAATAAAGCCATGCATCAAAGTTGGATCTTTCTCCACAGCATTGAAGAAGTTCGTTTCGTTCCCCATATACTGCGCTTCGAATCCCCCTTGGATCCAAACCTAGGTAGGCGAAATAGAACATCATGACAATGATAAACTATTACATTTTTGAACATATGTTTGAACATAAACCATCCAAGAAACAATGGAGCACACCTTACAGCAATCTGAAATTGGTTTTTCAACCGTTCCTCTGGCCCATGGTGTCAAAGGCCTCCAAGCCGCCAGAACCGTGTCCTTCAACTCCCATTGGCATCGATCACTCCCATTGGCATCGATCAGTTGACCAGCACCGGCAAAAGCGACAACGGCGAGCCTTGTACTTCTCCGGCAATTCCCAATCCATATCGTTCGGCACTGCAGGAGCATGCTCAGACGGCTGGTTTGCCCGAGCACTCTTAACACTCCTCCCTGCTTCCGAGGACATGAGTATCAAATCTCTTTCTAAGTTGCTTACTGACACTTCTTTGTAGCCAAATGGCACTAGAATGCACCTCATGACTCATGACACTTGCACCCTTGCACCGCACTGTTGCACCCTTGCACCCCCCTCACTGCACCACTGCACCAACTGCACTGCACCAAAAAAGTTGCTACGAAAACAGCAAATCTTGCTATGAAAACCCTATATATTGCTATGAAAATATGGTTTTGTGCTACGAAAAAGTGGTGCACTCTGTCTGGTGCACTGGTGCGCTGAAGAGGTACGCTGGTGCAGTCTCCCTGGTGCAGCGGTGCAGTCTCCCTAGTGCACCCACTACATACGACAGTACATATGATTCATAGATCCAAAAAGCTCAGCTCACCCAAGACAAACTTGTTTTTACTTCATCAGTCATGTCACATCTCACTACATATCCTCCCTCAAGACAAAGGCTTCAAATTGGGCCAAATGCTCGTTGGCTTGATTCCGTTTGGAAAAGGCAAGCCCACTTTGCAACCATCGTAGAGCACCTGCCTTGAATATGAATGAATTGTTTGAAAATACAACAACATATCGTAACATATCCGAACTATTACTTCAAAACCAAACGGATTAGCCCTTACAAACAAAAAAAATAAGAACTTTTCAAATCCAACTTTCAAAATGTTTGCAAAGTCCCTGCCTGGAACGAGTTTGGCAAACGTTTCAATTGAATGATTCGCGAGCATTTGGCATGAAGTTTGCAAGCAATGGAAACGCTATGCCCAGGAGTGTCAATTTTAAACTCTGTCAGGCGTCCTGCTCCAACAAAAACGGAGAAACTCTCAGTTTTACAACTTATGTCAAGTGGAAACACTTATCTTTTCAAAACCCATGTCCTATGGCTGCTGCGTACGACGAAGTGAACACATAGCCGTCCTTGTCTTGCCTCACAACGCAGCCAGACGCCTCATCAAAGACACGAAATTCAGCTTCAGTTGGATCTTCTGGTGTGTTAAATGCAGACTTCTTCCTCATTCTGATGGATGAGGATGATGCGGCTGATGCCACTGCTGGCGCTGGAGATCGGCTGGACGATGAAGCTGATGTGTTCACCGGAGGTACTGAGGCATGTGCATGTTCACCGGAGGATCTTGCTTCAATAGAACCATTCTCCTGATGCAAAATCACAAAAAGATAAAACCAATGCGACATATAATGTGTATTGATTGATGTATTATTTCAGTTTCAATGTCTAAACAAAGTACAAAAAACTCGGAGCAACACAGCTGACATTGAGTCTTCAATTCCATCAATCCAAAGAAAACACAGAACGAATAACAAACCAAAATGAAAGTGAGCCAAGGTTCCAAGTCATGTGCATGATTCCATGCTGTCTGCAACTGCTCATCTTCATTTTCGATTCCATCAACATCGGCTTCATGATGCGCTTGCTGTCTCTTTCGCCTCTCTCCTGTCACTTCTGCATGCAACACCAAATTGATCGGTTTTTCCCTCTGTAAATAGCTAAATGTTGTTCATGTGTATGTGTTTGTGTGGGTGGGGTGTGATAGCACAAATGTTTTATTACTTTGATTCCATCATTCTGGCTTTTGATTTGAAGTTTGACATGATTTTAATTTATAACTTATAACTGATACTGATACTCTTTGCTCTATGCTACACTGCACAATGATCTTGTCGCACCATCTGCTACTATACTCACAACTTACAAACGACTACCAACCACCAACCACAACCACACAACAAAGTGTGTCTCCTTTCGCCACACCAACTACTCGTACTGACGCTCTGGATTGCTTCTCTTCAGTTGCACGAGTTGGCTTGGAAACCATGCGACGAAAATGCCTCATGGACTGGTCACATTGATCCTCTTCATCGGACAGGCTATAGTCGTTGGTACCTGCTTGCAGCCACTGGTCTGACTGCTCGAGCGGTAGCTGAACTCGAATCAAAGACCATGTTTGCACCTCAGGAATCAAGAACACTGAACGCAGAATGAAAAAATTAAAAACAAAAAACAACACACACACATACAAAAGGCAGTCAGAACAACAACAGCAACAACAACAACAACCACAACAACCATCAACAACAAACAAACAACTGCAAACAAACAAACAAACAACAACAAACAACAAGAACAACAGGAACAAGAACCAGAACAAGAACAAGAATCACAACAACAAAACAACAGCAACAACAACAACAACAAAACAAAAACAAACACAAAAACTCAAATTAAAATACAAACAACAAAAAATTACTTTACTTCGTGTGATCCCCACCGTGACATTTTAACATTTTCTTACTGGCAAATCTTCTGGCATTCTATCTGACATATCTTCTGGCATTCTATCTGGCAAATCTTCTGGCATTCTATCTGGCATATCTTCTGGCATTTTATCTGACATATCTTCTGGCATTCTATCTGGCATATCTTCTGGTATATATTCTGACATATCTTCTGGCATTCTATCTGGTATATCTTCTGGTATATCTTCTGGCATATCTTCTGGCATATCTTCTGGCATTCTATCTGGCATATCTTCTGGCATATTATCTGGCAAATCTTCTGGGATTCTATCTGGCATATCTTCTGACATATGTTCTGGCATATCTTGTGGCATTTTATCTGGTATATTTTCTGGCATATTATCTGGCAAATCTTCTGGGATTCTATCTGGCATATCTTGTGTCATTCTATCTGATATTTTATCTGGCATACCTTCTGGCATTCTATCTGGCATATCTCATGGCATTTTATCTGGCATATCTTCTGGCATTCTATCTGATATTTTATCTGGCATACCTTCTGGCATTCTATCTGGCATATCTCATGGCATTTTATCTGGCATATCTTCTGGCATTCTATCTGATATTCCATCTGGCATATCTTCTGGCATTCTATCTGGCATATCTCATGAGGTCCGGCAGGGAACACTTGGCGTGGATACTCGCGGTTGAGGTCCGGCAGGGAACACTGGGCGTGGATGGCCGTGGTTGAGGTCCGGCAGGGACCACTGGGCGTGGATGGCCGTGGTTGAGGTCCGGCAGGGAACACTGGGCGTGGATGGTCGTGGTTGAGGTCCGGCAGGGAACACTGGGCGTGGATGGTCGTGGTTAAGGTCCGGCAGGGAACACTGGGCGTGGATGGTCGTGGTTGAGGTCCGACAGCGAACACTGTGGATCGCGAGTCGCAGTTGAGCAGGAGGACGAGGAGGACAACGAGAGGAGGAGGACAACGAGAGGAGGAGGACAACGAGAGGAGGAGGAGAGGAGGAGGAGGAGCAGGCAACTTAGATAAAATCTAACAACCCTCACCTGGCAGGTGGGGAACAAATAAATAAACACAAAAAACTCAAACCCAAATTGTAAATGAGTTACTGTGTACTCGCATATTGCCCATTTCACAGTTCCTGCAGTTGAAACCATGTCATTGATTTTGTTGGCAAACTCAAGCTGCGGAAAAATTACTGGCAAGCCCGCTGCATCGCAAAGAGGAGTGGCATAGATAATCAAGCCTGCATCAGATATTTCCTGACGAATGATGCTCCAGCGCCACCAGTCGGCTTGAAGAGGATTGAATTGGCTCCAACTCATCATCCAACAGTCCAAGTGCCTCATGACTCGCGACTACATGCAGACATATAACTATATAAAACAAAACTATATGCCTAACATTGCCTGAAAAACCAAAACAAGTTTGTAGAATGTAGATGCAGATGCAGAGTAAAGCTTCAAAAAGCAAAGAGTAGAGACAATGACAAGGGTTCACAAATGTATCACCACCCCCATTGGACAGCCAAGATGCGCGCCACCCACACTGCGAGCAACCAAAACAGGATGAGGAATGCAAACTTGCGGCCCTTGCGACTTCTTTGTGCCTTCCTTGACATGACGCCTGTGATGTCCCCTCACAAAACATTTCAACTCCTCCACAAGGATGTCAAACCGATCCTTCGGTGAGATCGTTTCATGGCAAAACCCATACTGATCTTGACAAGACAGTTGTACCACCCCTCGTTGTCTTTGCAAATCTTTGTTTTCACCACAAACTCCACCGGAAAAGGAACGCCATGCTGCGTTGTAATTCTTCACAAAACCAGGACCTTCTGAATCTGCTTGTCGAACCAAAGCCAACCCAATTCCAAAGTCTTCATCCCCAAGACCGAACGTACCAACACCCCCCTTGGAGTTCAATGGCATCAAGTGCTTGCGCGAAGATGCGGCAGCTGAAACCAATCCAGTTTCGACTGCCGGACATGGAGAACCCTCTGAAGCATCTGCATTCTCTCTTGCCAACACTGACCCAATGGCCCTGCTCTTATTGAGCTCCCTGGCTCTGGTTGAAAACAAAGCTCTCAGCCGGGCCCCTTCTTGCGATTGCTCGCCCCATCTGTACTGGCAATGATGCATGATACGTTTGCGACACTCTTCAGCGCTTTCCCCAAGCAAAGGAACCCGATTCTCCATTTCACTCGACCAAAACAATGAGAACCCATTGTAGCATCCTCGCCGTGCAGGAGTCACCAAACCTCCGCTCAGTTTGTGAAGCAAACTTCGCACAGCCACAAACTTGCGTGCATGAATAATGAATATTAAATTAAATATACTATATCATATGATATATAATGTAATGTAGTATATATATATGTATATTATTGTGCATGTGTCCACACGCTGTGTGTGATATAAACAGTAGACTATGTGAACAACATGCATGATGTACAGAGCAAAATGAGACGTCGTATGTTTTCCCTTGCCAATGCATGCGAATAAGCAGCTAGACTCGACTTTGCTTCAGGCTCACCAAAAGATTCCAAGGACTCCGAAGCTAATTTAATGAGCTGAGAAAAACATATTTTCCAAATTGTTTCCTGGTGACCTAAAGAATCACAAAGAAGACCCCGGCAAGTATATAAGTGAACAAAAACGACTGCTGGCCACACCTGCTTCATCTGATTGAAGTTGCTCGCTGCAAGCATGAGTTCGCATATGATCTCTGACATGGCTGAGCTTTGCTTCGGCGAGAACGTGTTTGGCGCAAAGGCTGGAAGCAAGGTCAACTCTGCCTCTCCCCACCCGTTTCATTGACTGCATCCGGGCAAAGTTTGTCTCAACTTCGATGTTGAAAATCTTGCCATTGAAGCAAGCCTTCAGCAAACCAACGCATGACCCTCCAGGAAGTAGGTCATGAACATTCAAAGCATGTGCTCTCAGCTGCTTCCCCCACCAGTCATTGAGGCAACATGGTAGAAGCTGCAAAAATTCCGAAGCGAGTTGATGTTTCTCAGGAAGTGAAGTTTCAGAATCAAGAAGCCCAGCCATCTTCCATGGATATTGATTGTAAGGAAGCCACAGCCTATGAAAAAGCTGACCCACCCCTTGCACAAAGCACCAGAACATATGGTCCAAGAAGTTCTCAGCGATACGCCCTGGCAGACCTGAGTGGATACACTGGGAACAAAAAGCTGCAGGCATTTTGGTTTTGCTTTCAACATCTTTTAAAGTTACAATATTTTACAATCTACAAGCATTGCCGTGACATTGCGTATTGGAAATGGCACTTCGAATAGCAACTTGCAACAGCTACGATACAAACTTTGTGGGGCTGCTGATTAACAGTAATTAATGAACCAAAGTCAGCAATGATCCTGGGAACACGCTGTGACCTTGTGCACTATATTGCTGCGCTGTGCTATGACCTAGCTTATTGCATTGGAACTGCAATCTCAAACTTGTTCAAGTCCTATACTTCTCTGTAGCACTCAAAACTTTGCACACAGTACCCACCCACACCGGCATGAGCTAAGCAGCCATTGCACAGGTCGTCAACAGAAACCTGTAGAGCTCCTTCTGGAAAAATAAGACCAGTCAACATGACGGCAATGATTTCTCGCATTGCAATACATGCAGGTGAGCGGGAAGAGCTTGCCATCACAACCATTGGTGGATCACATTCTAAAAGATAAGCCTCATTTTCCTGCCACTTCATGAACTGGTACATGATTCGCTCCATTGGGGACACACTGATGACCGACATGAAAAGACGGTACACAGAGTCTTCGTTCTCCAACCAAACCATTGTCTTCTTCGCTTTGACTCTGAGAACTTTCCGATATAGATCAGTAGAATCTCCCGACTGGGCTTCAATCATTTCTGCACCGGTCACATCTTCATCGCCAGAGACACCAAGCGACGACTGTTTTCCATGTAGTCGGCGAAACCCTTCGCGCAGAATTTGGTGGTATCCCAATGCACACCTCACATTCTACAGGCAGTCCTCCCAATGAAATGCATGCAAGTAGCTACAGCTAGAGTTTGACATGCACTATCTCTCCTTTGACATGCGCTATGTGGGATCTTATTTACCGTTTGTGTTTCTGTTTGACGCTTTGGTTTCCTGTTCTCTCTCCGAAACATGTGCACATTCTTGGAGAGCACTGAGTCAGAACAATTTAGAATCTAGAATCTAGTAAATCCCAACGCAATACCAATCATGCCTATGCAGCATACATGTGTGCGACAAGTCACAGGTAGTACCGAGCGGCCTTGCCGCAGCTGGTCCAGCGAGCAATGGCAGGTGTTGTGGGCTTCAATCCAAACACGAAAGCCTCGCGTTGCGCTCACATTGTAGTTAACTGAACTGAAACCATGCCCAAAAACAACCAGAAAGAAACATCTTCTTTAGAACTGCAAGACATGAAATATTTGGAAAGTCAAGTGGATCAAGTAACAAAACAGATCAAGAATTCAAGAATCAAAAAACTCACAGTTAGTACAAAGTACAAAGTACAAAGTACAAAGCCTCAACTGGCCCCAAAGTCAATCATTGCGCAGTGCAGCTGACCACAAACCAAGGGACAAGGATCGCCACCCACAACTTGCGCCGCGTCTCGTCCAAACCTCCTCTGCAGCAACCAATGCCACCGCAGTGATGAACCAAGTGACCACTCAAACTCCAATTGCCAGTGTCTAGCTTCAGAAGCTCTTCGCCCAACTGCAACTTGCGGCTGTAGCTGTCGAAATCAGGGTCTGAAGAATCCATTGGACCACGGCAACCGAGAACCAAATGCACAAAGGCACGATTACGTCGCAGAACTGATTCGTCGGGCCTGCGCCGGCAGTCGCATGGTGGTGCTTTGATGCTCTTTGCAAGAACAGATTGATTCAAAACAGCTTGGCGCCTAGCCATGGATCACAACATCTCAAACGAATCGATCAAAGATCAAAGATCGGAATGCTGATCTGATCCGTATACTTGTACTACTATGTATGGCAATGGTATTTCAGGCCCCCGGTCAACCATATACCCGGGCCCTGTCCTGTCGAACGACACCTGCACTGTTCCAGGGGCCATCACCCAGGCTTGAATGTGTCGCAATAGATTCAGCAGATTGCTGCCGCTTGAAAGAAATCCTGTTGTGTAGAACCTCAAGCAAATCTGTGCAGAGCTAGAGTTTAGTAAGACGTCGCACTCTAGCTGCTCTTGGTGATAGACCTCATGCTCTCGTTACGAAACTTAAAACCTTGCAAAGAATTGTAAACATAACCTTCCTTCAGTTCATTCTCGTAACAATTGCTACTAAACTATAAAGTATCAACTATAAACGGTTGACAAGCTAAACTTATAATCCAAGTCACATGCTATGTAAACATAATCTTCATTCAGCTCATTCTCGTAACGATTGCTACTATAAACTATAAACTAAAAACGTTTGACAAACTAAACTTATAATCCAAGTCACATGTTTGTTAGGTGTCCCAGCCCTCGCCAAATCGGTTCACTCGAGTGATTCAATGCGTGCCTTAGCAATCACGCAACGTCGATCAACTTGGGTGCATATTTCTGTTCCAGCAGGCAATGAGCAACAAAATAAGTCGATCAATGTCGAGGATCATATCGCATAATTTGTGCATTGCAACTACGTTTGGCCGCCGTTGCGCCAATATCGCAGAACGAAACAGTTTCGTGTTCGCTGTTGCTGCGTCTGAAGTGAGCCGTATGACACACACAGAGCACCAGTCGGACCAGCCTCAGCTTGCAAGCCGTTCGACCTAGTGACTTTGGGCATCTTTGGGCTTCTAAGGCTGTCAACTCTGTTTTACATTACACATTCTGAGTCTATGAATTTGAATTCAATAACTTGCTTGCATTCCAAGGGGCTCCAAAATGGAACAGGATGTTTTTGCAGCATACCTTCCCACAGGCATTCTGCACTAGTGTTCTCGAGGACCGCTGTGGCAATCGGAACACTTGTGTGCCTGGCACTTACTAGTAATCAGCAACATCACATGAAATTGAAAATTTGTTAAGTTCAAAACTCAAAACAAACTTCCAATCTACAAATCACAGCGTGACCAATAACTGCGTAGATCACGCTGCTTGCAAAGGTCGTGAAAGACTGGTGTCACCGCATCACTTGTCATGTCCATTGGATGCTCCCTAACACAGCCAAGGTGCATGAGATGTTGGTCGGATTGTCTCTTCTGCGCAAAGAGTTCCATCCGCTGAACCTATAGCTTTGGGATGGCATTGGTCCGAAAATCTCATGTGTGAATGCTTGATGTTTAGAATATAATATTTCAGAATGTATAATATTTCTGTACCCTCGTCGGTACTAAAGCAAACTGCTGTTGTAGTATAGCATTGCATGATGTTGCATGTTCTTGCATGTGATTCATGTGTATTGTACAATGTGAACATTGAGTTCTGCCTTATTATACAAGTTGCTTTCCAATAAATACTTTCATTAACATATACCATGTTGGCTCAACATACAGTAGTTGGTTGTGGCAACAATACTAACCACTAAACAAGAAATCACGGCTGTTAAGTTGTCGCAAAAAAACGAATCACCACTATGCATCATCATTTATTTTGATGCGACTGCCAAGTGACCAGGATGGGGTATGTGGCTTCCACATCAAGCATACCAGATCGCAAGCGAGTTTTTTTTGATGACTCATCGAATTCCATGCTCACGCAAATCAGATGAGGTTTTTCCTGAGTCCGGCGCAGTTTGTTCATGCGCTGACCGTGCAGGGGCTAACAAACAGTTCGTTAAACTATGAACCCGTTAAACTACGCAAAGAGTAAAAATGATAAACAAATAACAAAAAATATATTCATCACATCCAAAAACAAACACAGTTGCGCAGGTAAATGAATCATCATTTGCATAGTAAATATATATATATAAAGCCCACATATGCATACACACATTGTATATAACATATTTTTTAATGTTTGCAATAGATACATTCATAGGCTATAGTATATAATATAATATATATATATATATATATTATTTTATTATTATTATATACATATGTATAATATTACATATATATAATATATTATATATTATATTCATTATATTATGTATATCTAATCATGTAAAATTTTAAAGGCATATGGTATAATATAATATATAAGAATATTATAGTTAGTCAGTCTATGAGTCCAGGACGCCTTTCACGCAAACTACCTTGTTAACCTGACACCCTCCGAACCATGTCGACTACACAGTCAAGTTGCTTGCTGAAATCCACGAACGGCAACTGAAATTGACTGCAGAAAGAGTTGGGCAACGGCCCCGCGAACCTGATTGTCAGCGGTTGAGTCCAAAAGTATGATGCCTTCATCTCTGTAGTAGCAATCTATTCAGGCTTACTCATCTTTGTTACATCAACCTTTCTAGACCAGTGCGCTCATTTTACTGTATGCTGCCAGAAAGCCGCAGAGATGAAACTTGTGGATGACTGCAACCAGTAGGATAACGAATTCACTGAAAAACACCCTGGGGTCTTGAGATCCCGAGATGGCAGCTTCATATTCTTTCGCTTGCCGTCGGACTTCGCAACTTTCTTCTTGAAACCCTTCATGTCGATGGGGTTCCCTAACCTCATGTTGCAGTACCATGTTGGATTGGTGGAAGGTGAAACCGAACTAAGAAAACACCCCTGACTCACATGTGTACAACATTTGCAGTAACCATTGAACATTGAATTGAATTGAACCATTGAATTCAATCGTCAACCGTATTTGTTCACATGCATCATACAAGGCTTGGAAGTTCACTTCAAATTCAACCTCTCTCAGATCCTTCTAAGATTTTGTCACTTGTCACATCAAGCGTCATGGTTTGCATTCAATTATTTTATTTCAACAAAAAGTATAGGATCAAAAGGCGTGCAAACTTTGAGTTTTCCACAAGCTCTGGATGGTTGGCAGTCGAGATACGATACCTTGAGCATCGCCTCTGCTGTCCATGTGCGGTACTTACCCTTTCCTCGCACGGCCGAACCAGTATCCCTCTTCCTCACGGCACCCTGCATGACAAGGGAGACGCCAGTCGTAGTTGCCTTCCCTTTCCTGGTACAAAAAAAAAAACGACAGACTGCAGTATGCAAATGTGTGCAAATCACAAACTGTAATCGCAAAGAAAACAATGGCCATGGTAACGGTTGCCTTGCTGCTGTAAGAGTATGCAACTGAAAGTCTTGATGCAATCAATGCAATCTGAGATTCGGTTTCTCTCGTCGCAACTTTGCTGTTTCTTTGCCTGTGTGGCCAAAAGCCACCACATAGCCATAAAACCAAAACACCACCTGTACAGTAATGTAATAATGACTGACATGAAACCATCAATCATATTTGTCTGTGTTAGTTTTTGGTATAGTAGTAGTTCAGTTTGGTTTTTGTTCAATTGGTTTGCCTTGTGAAGGTTAATTTACTGTACTTTACTTTGTTTTTCTCGATTTAAGTTAGGTAAGTAGCTTTGGTTTGCTTTGGAACCTTGCTTCAAACCCTACACACAAACCCCAAAAAATAAAGACATAGTGAAGTAAAAGAAGCTCGTTACAACAAGGCTTTGCAACAAAAGCTAATGACAATGACAATGCCACAACCCAATCCCCAATGTTTCCGATGACTTTGATTGAAATTGATCGTGTTCGGTCATCAAATTATGATGTTTGGTTATCAAAGAAATCTGAAGCTGACCACTGGACATGCACATGCTTAGCACATAGTTCCTGACCCAAATGATGCTCATGACCCTTCACTCATGAACGCCGGGGCACACTTTCGCATAAAACGCATGTGTGACCTCACCAGCTTTGCATCATCATTCAGCTCGGCGGGCGCATGACACAGGCGGCCCACAACAGCCAGCGCCCTCCGCAATACATGCGCCATGAGACTCTAGGACTCTAGCACCATGAGATATGTTGTTGCAAATTTATGCAGCCGTCCTGTTCCAAAAGTTTAGAATTTTAGCCTCAGATATGTTGTTGGTTTCTTTTCAGGCCAACATGATGGTGTGTTGTTTCAAGCTTCAAGTCGTTCATTTTTTCAATTTTATTTCCTTCAACCGCATGCCTTACAAATCAAAAACATTCACATTCATGAGTTCATGATTCAAAAAAACAGCTTCGATCCAAGATTAAATTACCACATGGCCGAGCAAAGTCAACACACAGTGGTTGGACAATGCGATCAAGCTATAGTGTGAGATGCTATGAGCAACGATTTATAAACAGCGATAAGCTCGTAGTTAAGATACCATCGAGCCATGTTCGGAGTTGAATTGGAATGGGTTCATTTTCAACTGCTCACGGAAGTAAACTTCCAGTCGTACTGCCACATGTTCCAACATGTTCCAATAATGGTGGTGAAAGAAATTCAAGTTCAAATCAAAAAACAGCGCTGCATTGCCGATGATTGCGAAAGACCCATTCCCACATCTGCCTACACCCTTCACCATTATTGTTCTTCTGAGCTCCTCCCACCACTTACTACCATGAACCTGTGTATGGTGTCCTAGCCGTTTATGGTATCAATGTCTAAATTTTGCCATTGCGACTACTATTGCTACTGATACTGCTGCTGACACTACTGCTGCAACAACTGCCACCAGAACTACTGCCATAAGGCTACTGCTGATACTTACAAATACCAAGAAACAATACCACCGCCAGACACTATACCACGGCTTCCTGCCATGTATACTATATATATATATACTTTACTATATGCTTTTTATGTATATGGAATACTGTATCTCGTATTCTGACTCAATACTCTAACTTCTTCATGCTGCAGAATACATTAAATACATATCGTACTTGTGCACTTCCAAAGCTTCTGATTTCAAGATCATTGGCGCCATTTGTCATCTCAAAGGATATCATGGCCAGTAATTGAAGAAAACTATATACAAGTAGGATACAAGTAGGATACAAGTAGGATACAAGTTACAAGTATATACGCACACTAAGTTATATACTATATACAGTTTACAGAGATACTTGCACATACACAATCGCACCACTGCACCTGCACAACTACTTGCACAAACGCAATCGCACCACTGCACCTGCACAATCGCACCACTGCACCTGCACAATCGCACCACTGCACCTGCACAATCGCACCACTGCACCTGCACAATCGCACCACTGCACCTGCACGATCGCACCTCTGCACCTGCACAATCGCACCTCTGCACCGCATCATTGTACACTAGCACCGCCCTTCCACGATAGCAAGCACAAGAACATATGCTTTTCATGGCTTTCAAATTTAGATAAATATATTGTATACTTTTTTGTTTGCATGCGGCAGCAATGGTTCAGTTTTCTCGTATCCCTGCCTGCAGCTGAGCTTTCTCGTCCAAACTGGCCTGTTGGGTTGCGCAGATGATTCCCAGTCTTTCCTTCACTTGTAGTGCAATCACAAGGAGTGTTGGTGAAGGCCCCTTATGGTGCACAGTGGATTGCAACAATAAACTCCAAATGCATCCGAAAGAAAGGCTCCGTGAGTCTCCACCATGGCTCTGTGCGGAATAAGAATCTAGCATGAATATGTTTGGACAACACTTGCTTGCAAGAAGATAAAGCGTTTATGACATTGTATTCTATGACCGGCAAATTTTCGTATCTTGTTGGCCACAACTTCAATGCTCCCAAAAGAATCATTCTCGCCCAACATGATCCACACATGCTAGCTGGTTGATGAACCCATTCTGATACCCGCCACCTCCCTCTCATCGAGATCTCTTTGCCTTTCTCGGCTGGCCTGGTCATTGGCTTGCTTTTCTGTTCAGTTTTCTATTTCGCAAGTTTTGCCTTTTGCTTGAGAAAGAACCAGCAAAGAAAATTCTATGGACTGGTTTAGTGGTGGGAGGACTGCCAAACTTTAATCTTCTGAATCATAACGTCCGCTCTGCCAGCAAGTTCCAATGGGGAAAACAATTGTGGATCACATGCGATCAAACAAACTTCCCCACCTCATGGCACTCTGTCTCCAAATGCCTGCAATGAAATGAAGTCGCAAATGAAATTGAAAAAGAATCCGAAGACTACAACGTTTTCCTTGAATGAAATGATGAATTCGGCAAGACATAGTCTACCTTGACGTTCTCAACGACATTTCCTCTCGGTCATTAGTACATACCCCTTCGTGGGGACTTGGTGCTTTACAAAACTTGTGGCAGCCCCCACCTGGACTGCCGCATGCCCTCCCGGAGGTTGCGCTCCACATTGGTCACATCCTCCTCTCGAGCTGCGACAGCCGCCTCGCGTTCCTGAAGGCTCTGTTCTCGCTTGGATGCTAGCTGCACTCGCTCTACAAGAGCCTGGCGGCATGGGTAAGCACAATGTTTTCTAACTGCATTGCATGAGGCACCTATATCATATATCGTTGAAGCTCCAAGTTGTGAGTACCAGTCAGAACTCCAGGACTAAAGCTACTTAGATTGCAAATGGATGATCCAGCTGCCACTGAACTTACCGGCTGATGGCTGATATTGGTCGTCTGACACTTGTACAACATCTATCTACGCAGTTCCACCTCTTCTCGTTGAGAAAGTCTCAGCTCCGCTGCTTCCTCTGCTACCGCATCCTCCAGTATGGAGAAAAATTGAATATGATCGACCCATGACCCATGTTTGGCAATGTTCATCCATTTTAATTCAATTTCAAACCCACCTGTATACTTGTTGTGTTCGGGTCTGATCATTTCCTGTCTCATGTGTCAACAGCCATCCAGTCTCCAGCGGCTCCAGTCTCCTTACTCGCAAGTTGTTCTTCTCGCTGGCGAAGCTCAGCCTGGACTTTCAGAAACTGAAAGTTCTAGGGTTGAATTCAATATAGCCTAGCTGCTCCCTCTCTCATTCCCTCCCTCCCTCCCTCCCTCCCTCCTTCCCTCCCTCCCTCCCTCTCTCTCTCTCTCTCTCATGTGGAAACAATCGCGGATGCACTGCTAGAGATCCCGAACTGGCCAAAGGCATCAAGAGTTTTGGGACTCCAGGAACTACAATTAGCCCTTCAAGCTGAGGAGCGTCTCGGGCTGCAATAGCGTCACGCTGTTGTTGCAGATCTCTCCTGACATGGGAAAACAAAGGAAAAAGTCACTCATCTTTCCGTGCTTTCAAAGCAAATCTGTTTTGTTCAGAGACCATGAGATCTCCGGCAGCTCCAGGCGGATAAGAAAGTTGTTGATGGCTTTGGTATCTAGGTCATTCCTTTACTCTTCCAGCAGACATGTCCACAAAACCGCCAGCACGGACCTGACGGTGAGAAGCTCCTGCTCTTGGGAAGCCAGCCCCTGACATACATAAAGACTCTCAAAGGAAAGCCACATCATACATCATACAATATGTATATTACAGTCAGAAGATATCAGAAGCAATCATAGCCCCTACTATGTAGTACCCACCAAGACTTCAACTGTGGCACTTTCAGGGCTTGTCTTGCTAGATTGCAAAACACCCAGGTTTCTATCGAACGGAGAGCTTCCCGCGGCAGCATAGGGCTGTGCTCGTGTTGCGCCTTGCGCTGCTCCTCAAGCAAAGCCTCCGCCCTTTGGATCAGACGATTCCTTTCGGCCAGGGCCTGGCAGGTTGTGCCAATGTGTTGTGTTTCCGACTAGCAAAGGTGGGAGGATGTGAGAGGCATGGATACTACCAGCCTTGTGGACAAAGGCAGCTTCTGCACTTCCAAAGCTGTTTGGGATGCTCATTTGCAGCCAAAGTGGAAGGTATGCCACTTAAGACCACCAGTTTTCACTCCCAACATGTAGGATCCACCAGTCATTGTCGTCGCTTCTCTGATCAAGTGTCACCAAGAATGAACCACCCCACGAACCAAAGTCTCTGCAAACTCATGAAAATCAGTTTACTGCATCTACTCGCGAAATCTCTGCCTCTTCTGCTTCTTCGTTTCGAAGTCGGGCCTTGAACATTGCGCCAACCCAACTCATCCAGGATTTCAGAGGTGTCCTTCCACTTGTCCCCTACCAAATCAATCACTACATTGTCCCTACATGTCCCTACATCTCGCTACATCAACCTGTCATCCACCTGGGTTCAACCTGTGGCACCCAGGGGCACCCAGGGGCACCCAGGGGCACCCAGGGGCACCCAGGGGCACCCAGGGGTACCCAGGGGCACCCAGGGGCACCTTCTGCATCTCATCCGCCGTGGCTTGGTACGACTGCTGTTCCTCCCGGAGCAGCTGCTGCTTTTCCAACAGCGCCTGCTCCTGATTCCACAGTGGTGCACATTACGACATGGTACCAATGGCATGTCATGGAGGTTGCATGGATTATCTATACATATACGAATCATATGGCTATGAGTCAAAACCCTGGTACCTAGTGAACCCCAAAATAGCTGGTAAATGGATGTTCATCCCACTAAAAATGTATCTATAGGTATTGACCCATACCCATATATGCGTATGGGGTCGATACCCGGGTTATCTGATTACCTGGTAAACATCCAAATGGATCCAAATGGTTGGCTTTTTCGGATGTTCATCCCCCTGAAAGATGGTCCCATGCCATCCAGGTATTGGATCATCTCCCTGTGGGTACACCGAGGTCACTGAAGACTGCTGGCACTTGCTCGTGACCCTGCTAAAAGCGCACCAAATTGTGGGTGCAAAATATCTGGTTCACCAAGTTGAAACACTGTAGATAAAATTGATTGATCATGCAGTCCTTCGCAGACAGCTGATCAACCTTCCTCAGTCCAAAATCAAACTCTTCAGAGGGGTTCTTTTCAGACAAATCAAACACTGATTAATCCAGATTTGCAACCCAACAGCGAAATGGGTTCCAGGTTGCAAGGTTCCGTTCCAGATTTTGGGCTTGGTAACCAAACAATGCACCGCTCCCAGACCCAGGGATTGAAACCCAACAAGCACGGCTGTTGGGAATTTACAGGGTCCAGGACAAGGACCAAACTACCCAGCTCACATTCTCAAACGAAGCCCTGTCTGACTGAGTTTGGAGTGACACCTGAGCACCTGACTCCTGCAGCTCCTGCGACCATGTCACAATGTTCAACCCAAAGACTCTCAGTGTTAGGGTCCAATGTTCAACAGTTCCAGCTTCGAACTCACAATCAGGAGCTCAAGTTTCTAATTCTATTCCAATAATCAATAATATTAAAGAATCATCATGTTTCTATACAAAAATCCTCCCCAATATCATCAGAAAGCATCCTTTTCTAAATCTTTCTGAGTAGCTGTTGGGACCCCAACAAGACGGACCCCAACAAGACGTCCTTCTCGGACTGCTGCACCCTGGCATTTTGCAGCTTGAACTGCTCGCGAAGGTGCGCCATCTCCTCCCGGTTGCGCAGGTCATGAGAAATGTGTTGGTCACGCAACAGACGCCTATGGGTCAAGACCTGGTACCCCAGTGAACAAAATAGTGGGTAAATGGATGTTCATTCCCCCAATTATGGAAATGATGGGTTTTGACCCATCCCCATATTCTGACTCTGAACGCGTTCTATGAACGTGCAAGGTTCGTTTCTTTTTCCTGCAAACCGAACTTGGAGGAGGCTGGACTCTACCGTAGTGCAACAATGGTATACAGGTATACAGGAAAAGGAATATGTCACCGATCACATTTATCAAATTGCTCAACCATAAAAAAGTGCATGTCTTGAACCGTTTGACCAGCCTTGGATACCTGGTGAGATTGCTCTCTGCAAGTTTCCAACGCCTCAAGTGCATGTCAATCCCGCACAGTTTGCCAGATATCCCCGTCTGTTCAACTTAACTCTTGATAGCAATTGAAACGGCTGGTGCAGAGTGCGAGCTCAAAAAGAATTCCCTAGATCCAATCATCCTTGACTGATCATGAACACCTTAGACCACGTATCGTTTATATAAATGTCGCTATAGGTGGAACAACTCAGAAGGCAGAAGCGGTTCCAAAATTGCCGCACCTTCTGTTGGACCTCTTGCTCTTCCTTCGTCTGTTTTGCCTTCGTGGCTCCACACTAAGTTCTGGTCCAAACTCAATCTGGGTATGGGGCAAAGGGTCAAACCTATCCCAGTGCCATGGTGAACCCTTAGCATAGCTGGTTGCTGTGGATGTTCCTTTTTTATTATTTTTTTTAGAAAAATGGTGTTATAGGTTTTGACCCATCTCCATCTCTGGTATTCCAGCTGAGCATGTTTGGGGCGCCTGTACCTGGAGCCTTCGTTGCCAACAGCGCACAGATTGTTGGAAGTCTGCTTGTTGTTGTGCCAGGGCCTGGAAATGCAAAAGCGAAGCCATTTTGGCTGCTGTCATGGACCCTGAAGAGAAAGACATGTATGATTCCAATTGAATAAGATTGGATGACATTGGTATGTCTAAAGAGAACGTGGATTCCAAGTTGTCCAGGCATTGTCTGGTCCAGTTTTGTTTCTGTGCATAGTTCACGCATTCATCTGGGAATTGCAAGTTTAATCCATCTTGGCAGATAGAAAGCTGCAGACTAAAGACATGTGCCGCTCCTCCGCCCTCTTTGTCTTGGCAACAGCCTCGTGCATTTGCAGGAGGTCCTCCATTTGCAAACATGTTGCTCGACTTTGCTACTGCATCGGTGTTGCAATAAAAAAATCTGAACACCTGGTTCATTGGGTTTTTGGCGGGACCTTTCCCTGTCTTCATTCTCTTTGCTTTCTCAGTGTCCAAAGCTCGGTGCTGGAACAGCATATGACAGCACTTTACTAAAGTACCTCAAGACTTCAGGCCATCTACTTTCAAGAAAGTCAGGCTCCTCGATATGCTGTCTGACTTCCAAGTCCGCCTGAGACACCCCAGCATCAGGACCGAAATGGTTCTATGTGCATACCACCAAATGGAATGAGACAACTACGGCATCTTAATTGTCCACATGTTGAGCTAAGCCCAAAACAAAGACTTGAAAACCACTCAGATTCATCAGTTGATAATCTCAACTCGGCAACCGAGTACAAACGGTCGCCAAACTATGTGCCAAAGAGGATGTTGCAAACCTGTTTCAGGCCTTGTCAATGAAGATGAGGCCTTCTGGTACATCTTCTGGATTGGCCCCTGCCAATCAACCACGATATGAGAGATAGTGCCTACCAAACAAAATATTTGCTTCCCTGTCATTCAAGTCCGTCATCTCGGAACACACGAAGCATGGTGCAAACACTATATATATATATACATCAGGTACACACAACAATGGAGCTATGTTGTACATGACTATATATGGTGTGATGGTTGACTCTTTGTACATGCACGCTTCGTCCTATGGTATGGCCAAATGTTTTGTCTGAAGATAGGAAAACCCTAAATCCAATTGTTCACCATCATTTATCAGTTTACCTATCAAAACTGCCACAATCTGGCAGGATCCCTTCCGTTTCCAGACACACCCACACATCAAACGTTGTTTGGAATATATTGGAATTATCCCATTATATGACGATAACATCAGGGTATCATTGAATATGACGATAACATCAGGGTATCATTGAACACCCATGATGTCAATGGCCATTTCGGAAACCCAAATTGAAGGTACCTACTACATATTATAAGGCCTAGGTAATGGCCATGCAAGGGAATATCCCAAGAAAATATGGCCTCATATGGTTTAGTATCTCTACTTTAGGGTCCTGATATTCCCATTATATATACTGTTGTCAAATAACCCATTCATTATATTCCAATATATTCCCATTGTGTGTGTGTATGTGCACGGCGGGTTCGCCATCGGTAAACAATGGGGTGGGGTGGGGTGGGCCTGGGGTGGGGTGAGGTGGGCTAATAACGTTCAAGTGGTACGGGTGGTGCACAAATGTGATGCAACGCTACAGGATGTTCGCTTGTACTTGCGCATGTACGTGGTACTACGCTGAATATGTCTTACGTCGCAAAGGGGGTTGGGGTGGGGTGAGGTGAAGTGCTAAAATTGGTACCTCGTAACTGTTTCAGAAAACCAGTTGCAAGATGCTTCGGGGCTTAGGAATCAAAAAAGCCAGAAGCTGTCAGTTGTCAAGTTACACCAGATTTCTCATTTTAAGCCGACGGCGAACCCACCGTCTTGTGCGTTTACATATACATGTATATATATTCAATAACATATTATAATATAACATACATTCCCATTGTGGTTTGCTAATATCTCGTATGTCTGTAAATCATCACTCGCCTTCTCCGTAGTACCGCACAGACTTCAGGATTCTGCCCACAACCTCCGCAACGGAGAGCTCCAGCCAGAGTGGTGAAGGGCGTGTCTGAAAATGGTGTTTCAATCATTTTCAATCATTCAAAATGTTGCTTTAATGATTAGGATGCTAATTGGGTATTAATGGGCTATCAATGGGATATAAATGGGAATATACTGATATACTGTATGTGACAAACGATACCCAATTTGGATGTGTCTGAAAATGGGCGCTATACTGAAAATTGCCATTGAAGTAGGGAAAATGATGATAAGCCATGGGATGGAATGGGGTAACCCTATTTTCAGACAAACCCAGAATGCTTCAGACAGGTGGAAAGGAGTGTTGCGGGTTTTGTGGAGCCTCATCGTGGTGTTGAAGCAAAGCGCGGCGCAGATCAGGGTGCGTGGACATGTCGTCAAGAATTCACGAATGAATTCTGCAATGTTTGTATCGTGCTGAAAAACTCAAGGCCCGCCAAGTGGTTCACTGCAAATTCCTTGACAAAAATGATGTGAAATCTATTACAGTATATGGAATGATCTCGTCACCACATGAGTGTTAGGCCATTCAAAGGCAATGTGGAACAGAATTGCTTTGACTCCACGCACATCTGCAAGGTTGCTCAATTGATAGTTATCCATGTTCTTGATTGTCTCCAATTGGACTGACATGATTTTGCTGAATCAGCCAAAAAGGCGGCGCACCATGCCATACAGCGCATGAACCATACTGCCAGTAAGTATGCAAATGATCGGTGCAAGAAGGAAATGGTCGCCTCAAACAACTTCAGGAAGCATGGCATCAGAAACTTGTCAAGCAAGTCTTCCATTGACAAAGGGTTGTTGAACGCTCTTAGCGACGCCACACACAGGAGCAAAAAAATGGTTGAGACTCGTCCGGCACATTGCAGGCAGGCGCGAAGATTGAAATGGGTACTGGATTGATAGCATGGTTTGCAAGAGAAATATTGCACTGAGTCTTTCCCAAATGAGAAGCATGAGGCCAATCACTGTATCAATGACCTGAATGATCAAATGATTTAGCAAAAACGAAATTTACCCGCTGTCGGACGAGTGGCCAGGAGGCAAGCTGGAAGCATTGTTCTTTGGGATGTCACCCTTTGACTCTGGTTAACCCTTGTGTTTCCAAGTGCTTCCAAACGATCCTCCCAGCCTGGAGGTGCGTGCACGAGCCGCAACAAGAATTGACCAGTCAATTTTTCGGCTGCTCTTGTCGGGTCTATCACGCGCACGTGTTGTGTGAGAGGAGTTTGGGAGAATTCGCGCAACAGTGATCTGCCAACTGCGGACAAAACCAAAGTCATCAAGTGCTCCTGAAAATCAAGTTAAATAAAATGATGCCAATTGAATCATCTCAACGATGAAAGATTTTGTGCAGGCTGCAAGCCACTCCCGCATTAAGAATAGAATTTAGATTTGGGTCTGACGCACCCTTTTAGTGCACAGCAGTCTTGCACACGCCAACGGTCAGGCGCAAACATTGAAAATTGTTGAAACTGGTCCCACTGAGATAAGGCCAATTTCAACTGTCGCCAGCACCAACGTCAAAGACACACAAAAATTTGGCGATTTTGGAGCCTTCAAGCCGGGTGCCTAAGTGCCTGGCTTCAAGCAAACGCCTGAGTTGCTTCACTGGACTGGATTGGAAAGGCGATGGAAAACACAGCAAGTTTTCATCCTCTTCTGATACTTGTTCTCGGTTCTCGGGTCGCACAAATCCATCTGAAGCCACCAAGCGCTTGTCAAACAGCGCATTCCAAGCTTCGCTGCTCGAAGTTGGCAGGCTCAATCCCAAGAAGCTGCGGATTTGGGCCAAAGAGTTGCGCTGGGTGTCGTAAGGCAACCAGCGAAAACCTTGGTTCTCGATGCATCTTCAAGGACCTAAAATTGTGAGTCCCCTTGGAAACCATTTGGTATACTTGGCTAGTCTACTTGCTAGCAGCGTATTGATCAGCTTAGGAACCTCGACGGCCAAAGGCACAGGCACACTGCTTGCTAGTGTTTGGTATGCCCAAATGCGAGGCACGATCAGACAGAGTTGTGCACAATCTCCTTCCTGCAGGAAAGAAACCAAAAAAATGCGATAGAAAAAGTTTGGCAAATGAAGAAACTTTCATCAAAGCACAACAAGCCATTGGCAAGTCTGGTCCTTCCGGAAAGTTCTGGCAACTGCCTCCGCCTCGAAGTTTGAGATCACAACTTGCTTCGCTCGGCCTGGCGGGAAGCAACAGCGCTTTGACAAAAACAATAAAAATCAAGAGCGACTAGAGGAGAAGACCCTGAAGACCGTGCACAGCACATACAGCGAATCATTTCTATCATACACTGATAAAGGGCCTTGGAGAAGCCAAACCACAGGTCTGAGATAGTGGTCTGTGTGGCCTTTGTCCGCGACCGTCTTGACAAAATCCGGCGTCACACAAAGCTCCACTGACCAACTCGCAAGGTGCCCAAAGGTTGTCTGCTGAACGGCGCTATCCAGCGACAAAAACGTCTCCTCTGTATGGCCCAAGAAGGCCAGCTCTACTAGCCCACGTGAAAGCTTCGGTGCGGCTGGCACGGCTGCTGCAGGTCGTTCAACTTGCGTTTCCTCTTCTTGCTCCGCCTCCAACTCACGCTCCTGCTCTTCGTGAAGCAAGCTGGCGGCACAAAGGACATTGGCTCCAAGCTCCTCCACGTGATCCATGATCTTGCAGATGTCCTCAGCTACAGCAATTGGGCAATCCAAGCATTGCTGGCGTTGCTGGTACATTGCCTCTACCACTGTTGGAATAGGTTCTTGAACGCGCCCGTGGCCATACATTTCAGCCAATGCGATCACCTCCCTCTGTGCACATGCATCTGCAAGCAAGCCGAGCTCATCTGCATCCTGATAGTTGAACCTTTCGTAAGCTCGCTTCTTGCAAAATTGAGTCATGCCTTGAGATGCCCAGTAAGGGAGTTTCTCAGCAGTTGACTTTGCAGTGTTGGCCAAGCACCATGAAAGAATCGCTGGCAAATGATGCAGTTTCCCGCGACTTGCAAGAGTGCCTTTGCCTCTTGGTACGACAGTCCCCGAGCTTGGTGGACGGCAGGCTTTGATTTGTCGGTCAACCTCATCGGACGCATAGAAGCACACCTTGGGTCACGAGTGCTTGCTGCTTCAAAAATAAAGTTTTCAGTGGCAAGTGGGATCAGCAACCACGATTACATCAAAAGTCACAGACATGACATAACCTGCGATTGAACATGGATCCCGCCACAGCACCATAGAAAAGCAAAAGCAAAACAGGGCACATTGACATGCAAACCCACATATGACACCTGAAACAGCAGCAGGGCAACATTTTGAGGGGCGGCATCGTAAGCAGAAGCAAGCACCTGCCACAATGTCAAATCTTGTCTTGCCATTGGGTCATCACAAGGAAACTTTGCAGATACTAGGATCAACTAAGCTGGCCAGTATAATTTGTTTAGATATCATCATTAGTTAGTCTGCATAATTATTGTGTTCACAAGCGGTCTATCCATGCAGAGGCACTGAGTGTCCATTCCCAAGAAGACGCATCCGCATGCAGGTTTGAACGAGCTTGTCCTTCTGCATTCCCCGCCCCAACGTCACAGCTGCACGTGTTCCTGCACTAAGGCGAAAGTCTGATCCACGAGTGTGAATATCATCCAAGTAGATCAGGCATTTCTGCAAGTTTGTTTCGTAGGGAGACAAGGCCAAGGGCGTAACCAAACCAGCTTTGTTCACGACAAGCATCCGGTTGCCTGCACCGAAATAAACCACTGCCTCCATGTCGTTTCGACTGCCTAGCCATTTCTGTGCCAACTCTTCGTTCGTCATGTCAGTGGCCCATGCGCCAGAATCAAGCACGACATTGATTGGACTGCTACTCTTGTAAATCTCTGCGAGGAGACTGGCGCCATTGGCAGCTGCACTAGGAGGAAGCGAAAAATATGCATCATTCTCCTGCCATGTGGAAAAAACATGTACATCCCAAAAATCGCAATAGATCCAATTCAATACAACAAAATCTCTGACATCATCCCGCTTCAATGAGCTCTTGGTGGCCTCTGCTTAAAGGTCTGGGGGTTGTGGCACGAGCCTTCTTTGCCAACCCACAATAAACCAAACACACCTTTGGAAGCAAGTTCGATTATCAAAGGAAAAATACCGCCAGCACCGGACCCACACCCTGTGATTCCTGCCTCCTGCAGCAGGTTTCTCAGAACAATTCCATTTGTGTGATTCAAATCTCGCAAATTCTTCTGGGAAATTGTGAGCAGAAGCAAAAGGCTTGCATCATCCGTGCCAGAAAAGCCAGTGGTCACATGATCTGCCCTGCACAAATCCCACGCTGTAGAGACGAGCTTTTGATCAAAGCATTTGGCCTCCAGCGGAAACACAATTTGATCAAGCCAAAAATCCACAACACGTCGGTGTTTGCGGATTTTCTTGACCATTTCCCTCACAAGCTTGGGGTCTGCAAGATTGATGCCCGACCATAGGCGCAATTCACTTGGCATATCATCTCCCATTTCAGAGGTCCACTCTTCATAGATCGCCGCTGCCTGGTCTTGAGTCTTCTGCGCAAGCTTGTCCAAAACCTCCTTGACGTAAGCCTCTTCCAGTCCCCCTCGATAGTATGTGAGGTATGTCAAGAGGATAGCCACATCAGGGTGGCCAAACTCTGTGCGCTCTGCAGCAACGTCCTTGGCTCTGTAGGGGACTGCATAACGACAAGCTGCTGTGGAGTGCACTCCATACTCAACTCGATATCGCTTAGTGAGCGCCAGCAGGAGAACCTCATTGCTCAACAAACCTCGAAGCAGGTAGGCCAAGGGCTGGATCTCTGCTGGCAGCTGAAGCCATGGTTCATCATGCAACTCTGCCAGCAGCACAGACCTTTCAAAGGACACACGTTCATCTGCACGAAGCCGCACAGATATCTGGTGGGCTCCATTGAGGAAATCATCCACAATCAATTTGCACAGGTGCTGGTAGCAACTTGCTTGAGTCGTGGAAGCGTCTGTTGCACCCGACGTCAGCCGTAAACTTTCGGGAAACTCGTACTCAACACCACCAGGCTCAAGCAAAATGGCATTGGTTTGGAAGGTTTCTGCAAGGGTAGCAGCGTGCTTGGCGACAGAGGCCAGAACGCAAGCCGCAACCCGCCATCTCAAACTCCCTCCGTCAACCTCTCTGCAATTTCCCAATGTATAGATGAGTTGATACTTGGCGTGAAAGATGTCGTCTGATTCATCCACGATGTCTCTGGCCCTTTTCAAATCTTCTAGTAGAAGGTGTAGCTCTCGGCTAGCCTCTTCATCACCTTTCCAAGCAAGCTCAATGGCCTTGTTCTCCAAAGACAGCCTGTGCTCTGGCACTGTGACCACGACATGACCACCTGCGACAGAATCACCCAAAAGACTGGATTCCCAGCCGCCACAACAACGAAGCAAAAAAACAGCTGCCTGCTCGAATCTTCTCCACGTATCTCCTCATCCTCTGGGCAGCCACCTCGCCAAGTCGAGATGCACAACATGACTCCCCCTGTGCACGTGTTTAAAGTCATTTCTCAACGCAGTCTTTCAAGCAAACGTCGGTAGACCTGTGTCCCTAAATTGCTGCTGTCAAAAATATGTCATGCCCCAGCCTTGTCGATGTGAAGGTCACGGCGGCAATACAAAGGGTAGATCTTCTTCCCAAGCAAGCCACCCAGCCTCAGACAAATTCGATTTTTTGGCAGCAATCTCCAGAACCAAGACCATGCAGCTGCACCAATAGATTGCTCGGCATAGCAGAAAAAATATTCGTATACAAGGCGCTCCCAAATTCACACTCAAGACTCCTGCTTGACCCTTTGCGCACATGCCGCTGGTGGGCCAATGGACATGACAACTGTCAGTAAGAGGCCGCGTTCGAAACCGTTTTTTCTCAAGGGGGGGAGGGGGAGGTAATCTTATTTGCCTAGAAGGAGTTCGAGCCAGGGGGGGCGGGGCAGGGGGGGGGGGGGGGGCAATATTATTTTTATTACTTTGTTGCAAAGGCCGGAGGGGGGGGGGAAATATAGTGTTTGGGTGGGGTGGGTGACGGGGAGGCGGGGGAGGGGGGAGGAAAAGATTGAAGATTATCATGAGTGATTTTTTTTCAGAGGGGGGGGAGAGCGTTATCTTTTTGCCGAGAGGAGTTGAAGGCCAAAGGGGCGGGGGGTGGTACGGGGAGGGGGGGGATTTTTTTATTTATTTTTTGCAAGGCCCGGGGGGGGGGGCTGGAATATTATTGTTTGGGTGCGAGGTGGGCTGACGGGGAGGGGGGAGGGGGGGGAAGATTATGATGATTGATTTTGGTAAGAGGAGGGGGGAGAGCATTATCTTATTTGCCGAGAAGGAGTTCAAGCCAGAGGGGCGGGGTAGGGGGAGGGGGGGGGGGCGCATATTATATTTGTTTTTGCAAGGCCGGGGGGGGGTGGTGAATATGAATATTATTGTTTGGGTGCGAGGTGGGCTGACGGGGAGGGGGGAGGGGGGGGAAGATTATGATGATTGATTTTGGTAAGAGGAGGGGGGAGAGCATTATCTTATTTGCCGAGAAGGAGTTCAAGCCAGAGGGGCGGGGTAGGGGGAGGGGGGGGGCGCATTATTATTATTTGTTTTTGCAAGGCCAGGGAGGGGGGAGCATCATTTTTTTGGCGCGAATGAAGCCATTGAAAGGCAGCAGGTGGGTTGGAGGGGATCGGGAGGGCAGAGAGAGTAGCCAAGGGCAAGTGGGCGGGAGGGGAGGGGGGGAGGGGGGGAGATTATTATACTACTACTACTACTACTACTACTACTACTACTACTACTACACTACTACACTACTACCACTACTACTACTACTACTACCACTACCACTACGACTACTACTACTACGACGACTACTACTACTACTACTACCACTACCACTACCACTACTACTACTACTACTACGACGATTACTACGACTACTACTACTACTACTACTACGACTACGACTACTACTACTACTATGACTACGACTACGACTACGACTACGACTACGACTACTACTACTACTACTACCACTACTACTACTACTACTGCTACTACTACTACTACTACCACTACTACTACTACTACTGCTACTACTACTACTACTACTTACTACTACTACTACTACTACGACTACGACTACGACTACGACTACGACTACGACTACGACTACGACAACTACGACGCAACTACTGCTACTAGCTCATGGAGTTCTCGGCGGGGATGGTGGGTGGAAGGCGGGGATGGTGGGTGGAGGGGGGGGGAGCGATTATATTTATTTATTTTTTCTCGGGGGGGAAGGGGGGCGCGGAACATTCTTATTTTGTGTGTATTCCAATGCATTCGTATGTCTTCCAATTCATTCGTATGTCTTCGGAAAAAAATTGAAACCCAATTCATTCGTATGTCTTCCAATTCATTCGCATGTCTTCCAATTCATTGGAGGGGGGTACCCCCCCCCGAACCAATATTATTATTTCGCGGAAATAAAAGGCGGAACGCCAATTCATTCGTACGTCTTCCAATTCATTCGTATGTCTCTCGGCTGGGGATGGTGGGTGGGTATGTCTTCCAATTCATTCGGAGGTCTTCTCGGCGGGGGATGGTGGGTGGCGGGAGGGGATGGTGGGTTGGAGGGGGGGGGAGCGATTATATTTATTTATTTTTTCTCGGGGGGGGAGGGGGTGCGCGGAACATTATTATTTTCTGTGTATTCCAATGCATTCGTAAATCTTCCAATTCATTCGTATGTCTTCGGAAAAAAATTGAAACCCAATTCATTCGTATGTCTTCCAATTCATTGGGGGGGGGGTAGCCCCCCCCCGAACCAGGATTATTATTTCGCGGTTCATTCGTATGTCTTCCAATTCATGGGATTGGATGGGGGTATCCCCCCCCCGAACCATTATTATTATTTCGCAGAAATAATAATAATGAATCGATTTCGATTCATTATTATTATCTCGCGGAAATAATAATAATGAAGCGAAATCGATGATTATTATTATTTCGCGGAAATAATACTACTACTACTACGACTACGACTACTACTACTACTACTACTACGAATAATAATAATAATAATGGAGTTCTCGGGGGATGGTGGGTGGAGGGCAGGGATGTGGGTGAGGGGGGGGGGCGTCAGCGATCTATTTTTTTTTCTCGGGGGGGGAGGGGGGGGCGCGGAACATTATTATTTTCTGTGTATTCCAATTCATTCCTACGTCTTCGGAAAAAAAAATTGAAGCCCAATTCATTCGTATGTCTTCCAATTCATTCGTATGTCTTCCCCCCAAAAGAAGCCTGAACCCCAATTCATTCGTATGTCTTCAAATTCATTCATATATATTCCAAAAAAAAACGCTGCATCTCAATTCCTTCGTCTGTATTCCAATTCATTCGTATGTCTTCCAATTCATTCGTATGTCTTCTCGGCGGGGATGGTGGGTATGTCTTCCAATTCATTCGTATGTCTTCTCGGCGGGGAGGTGGGTGGAGGGCGGGGATGGATGGTGGGTGGAGGGGGGCGGGGCGATTATATTTATTTATGTTTCCGAGGGGGGGAGGGGGGGCGCGGAACATTATTATTTTGTGTGTATTCCAATGCATTCGTAAATCTTCCAATTCATTCGTATGTCTTCGGAAAAAAGTTGAAACCCAATTCATTCGTATGTCTTCCAATTCATTGGGGGGGGGTAGCCCCCCCCCGAACCAGGATTATTATTTCGCGGTTCATTCGTATGTCTTCCAATTCATGGGATTGGATGGGGGTCCCCCCCCGAACCATTATTATTATTTCGCGGAAATAATAATAATGAATCGATTTCGATTCATTATTATTATCTCGCGGAAATAATAATAATGAAGCGACATCGATGATTATTATTATTTCGCGGAAATAATAATAATGAATCGAAATCGATTCATTATTATTATTTCCGCGAAATAATAATAATGGTTCGGGGGGGGAGGGGGGTACTGCCGGCCGCCCTTTGGCCCCGCCGCGAAAATGAGAGAAATGAAGGGCTTTAGTACATAGGCAAGTTAAAACGGAAAAAAAAAAAAAAGGAGCCCCACATACGAATGATTGCCCTTAGATACGAACGAATGCCTTCCAAAAAAAAATGTCTGAACCCGAATTCATTCGTATGTCTTCCAATTCATTCGTATGTCTTCCAATTCATTCGTATGTCTTCTCCCCCAAAAAAAGTCGGAACCCCAATTCATTCGTATGTCTTCCAATTCATTCGTAAGTCTTCCACCCCAAAAAAAGGCTAAACCCCAATTCATTGTGTGTATTCCAATGCATTCGTATGTCTTCCAATTCATTCGTATGTCTTCGGAAAAAAATTGAAACCCAATTCATTCGTATGTCTTCCAATTCATTGAGGGGGGGTAGCCCCCCCCGAACCATTATTATTATTTCGCGGAAATAATAATAATGAATCGATTTCGATTCATTATCTCGCGGAAATAATAATAATGAAGCGAAATCGATGATTATTATTATTTCGCGGAAATAATAATAATGAATCGATATCGATTTAATTATTATTTCCGCGAAATAATAATAATGGTTCGGGGGGGGAGGGGGGTACTGCCGGCCGCCCTTTGGCCCCGCCGCGAAAATGAGAGAAATGAAGGGCTTTAGTACATAGGCAAGTTAAAACGGAAAAAAAAAAAAAGAAAAAAAGGAGCCCCACATACGAATGATTGCCCTTAGATACGAACGAAGGCCTTCCAAAAAAAAAAAGTCTCAACTCAACCCGAATTCATTCGTATGTCTTCCAATTCATTCGTATGTCTTCCAATTCATTCGTATGTCTTCTCCCCAAAAAAAAGTCGGAACCCCAATTCATTCGTATGTCTTCCAATTCATTCGTAAGTCTTCCCCCCCAAAAAAAGGCTGAACCCCAATTCATTCGTGTGTCTTCAAATTCATTCATATGTATTCGAAAAAAAAAGTCTGCATCTCAATTCCTTCGTTTGTATTCCAATTCATTCGTATGTCTTCCAATTCATTCGTATGTCTTCCAAAAAAAAATTGAAGCCCAATTCATTCGTATGTCTTCCAATTCATTCGTATGTCTACTACTCCTACTACTACTACTACTACTACTTTTATGATTTTTTTATGAATATTGATGATTTTTAGGATATGATTTGAAAAAAATGGTGAAAAATGGATATGATTTTTTATGTTTTTTTAAAAAAAAATTGTGTTTTTTTTAATGATTGTTTTATGATTTTGTTTATGATTTTTTATGATTTTTTTTGTTTTTTCACTTGTTTTTATGTTTTTTCAATGATTTTTTTTATGATTCTTTGAAAATGATTTTTTTTAATGAAATTTTATGATATTTTTATGAAAATTTATGATTTTTTATGAAAAATATGATTTTTTATGATTTTTTTTATGGTTTTTTAAAAAAATGTTTTTTATGGGTTTTTATATTTTGAAGAATCTTATGATTTTCTTATGATTTTTTTCTAATTTTATATTATTTTTTTAATGTGCTGTAATATGTTTTGATTTTTTTGGTGTTTTTATACGGATTTTTGTGATTTTTTAATGATTTGTTATGATTGCTTTATGATTTTTATGAATTGTATGATTTTTGTTTTTTTGATTTTGTACGTTGTTCATGATTTGTGTTTTGTAATGTTTTTGAATGATTTTTTTCAATGTTGTTTTTTGTCTTTGTTAATGTTTTTTTAATTGTTCATGTGTTTATTTTTATCTTTAACGTCGCCAGGATTTGGCCAATAATGGTTCTAGGCCCAAAGGCCTGTGGTAAGAAATTTTGTTTGATGTCAAATCCATAGAAACCAAACGCCATCATGTTCCTAAAAAAACAGTTCAGAGTTTTGTTCATGGGTCCAGCTTTGTGCTGGGCAAGGTGCATCATCAGTTCAAAATTTGTGACCTATCCTAAGGCTAGTTTCTTTTCTCGGTATTCACTTCTTTAATGCCAGCTGCCCGCTAAGTCACAAAGGTCTCAAGCCTGAGGCCTAAAGCCTAGGGCCTCAAGCCTGGAACTTAAGGCCCCAGATCCGAGATTCTAGAGCCTCAAGCCTGAGCCTAAGGCCTCAGGTCCGAGATTCTAGAGCCTCAAGCCTGGAGCCTAAGGCGTCAGGTCCGAGATTCTCTAAGGCCTCAGGTCCGAGATTCTAGAGCCTCAAGCCTGGAACTTAAGGCCTCAGGTCCGAGATTCTAGAGCCTCGAGCCTGGAGCCTAAGGCCTCAGGTCGGAGATTCTAGAGCCTCGAGCCTGGAGCCTAAGGCCTCAGGTCGGAGATTCTAGAGCCTCAAGCCTGGAGCCTAAGGCGTCAGGTCCGAGATTCTCTAAGGCGTCAGGTCCGAGATTCTAAAGCCTCAAGCCTGGAACTTAAGGCCTCAGGTCCGAGATTCTAGAGCCTCGAGCCTGGAGCCTAAGGCCTCAGGTCGGAGATTCTAGAGCCTCGAGCCTGGAGCCTAAGGCCTCAGGTCGGAGATTCTAGAGCCTCAAGCCTGGAGCCTGGGACGCTGCTTTCCTGAACCAATCCATAAAAAAAATATAAAAAAAACATTAAACATCATTTTAAAAAATCATTAAAAAAATCATTAAAAAAAATAAAAATCATAAAAAAAAAATCATAAAAAAATCATAAAAATCACACAAATTATAAAATTGATCATAAAAAAAAACATATGTATTTAGTTTTATGATTTTTTTATGATTTTCTATGTTTTTTAAATGATTTTTTAATGATTTTTGTATGATTTTTTTGATTTTTTTCTGAATTTTTATGACCCCTTAAGCGCCCATCTACAGGGTGTCACCCTGCCCCCGGAGTTCCTTAGAGTTTAGGGTTTAGGGTTTAGGGTTTTGGATCCTTGCTGCTGGCCTGAAATCTTGGAACCCTAAAGGTAGTGAAGGTAGTGAAGTGTTTCAATACTGACTTTCCCTGTTTGGCCTAAACATGTTTCCTTCCCAGGTTTTTCATCACACAGCATAGGTTTAGTCAGTTGCCTCCTTACAGCAAATAGTTGCTCAACAAATTTTGTCATAGCAAAAAAAAAAATCAAGTTTACTGCTGCTAACTAGCTGTTAGTTGCTAGCTGCCAGTTGTTGCTTGTTGCTAGCTAGCTGCTTGCTAGCTAAGCTACTCGCAGCTAGTCACTGGTTGTCGTTAGTTGCTAGTTGCTAGTTATTTGTTGCTAGCAACTGGATGCAAGTTACTTGCTGGCCACTAGCCCCGGAAAAAATTGTGACACTGTTCGTTGACCAACTAGCCCCAACATTGGCATCGCCCTGCCCCCCCCCCCACACACACACACACCACATAATTTGTTTTTTTGTTCGTAAGTCATCACTGACACCTCACTGCCTGCCATCATGCAGCAGTTGGTGCAGTTTGAGATATCTGCAAAATTTGCTGTTCAATTCGTTTTTCGCTCACCAGTGGTCAAAAAACCACCAATCCTAAAGCCAACGCCAAAATAAATTTAAATAAATAAATGCAAAGTCAATGTTTGTTCAATGTTCTCCATGTGTGTGAAATAAAAAAACGTTGTTGTTTGTTTGCTGTTCTCCATGTGTTTGAAATAAAAAAAACATGCAAAGTTATTGTTCGCTCAATGTTCTCCAGTCAGTTATTTAGAAAAGAAAAACAAAAAAATAAAAAATAAAACACAACATCATAAAAAAGAAAAAGACGTAAAAATCATCACAATCATGAAAAAACAAAATAAATTAAATAAAAAAACATAGAAATTGTCATATTTCATAAAACACAAAAACCATTTTTTCAAAATCATAAATACAATGATATATATTTCTCATAAAAAAAACATGTTTTTTCATAAAATACAAAAAAATTAAAAAATCATTAAAAAATCATAAAAAAATCAAAAAAAACATTAAAAAAAACAGTGTTTCATAAAACACAAAAAACATTTTAAAAAATCATTTAAAAAAAAACATAAAACAAACCGTTTAAAAAAAAAAACATTTTTTCATAAAAAAATCATAAATTTTCATTAAAAAAATCATTTTCAAAAAATCAAAAAAAATCATAAGAAAAATCATAAAAAAAAATCATATAAAAATATTAAAAAAAAACGAAAAAAACATTTAAAAAAAAAGAAAAATCATAAAAAATCATAAACTGTTTTCAGGCAAAAAAACAAATCATAAATTTCATCATAAAAAATTATATTTTTTCATAAAAAAATCATAGTTTTTTATAAAAGAAATTAATTTTAAAAACCGATTGTTTAGCTTACTCCCGGATCTCAAGACTACTACTACTACTACTACTACGACTACTACTACTACTACGACGACGACTACTACTACTACTACGACTACTACTACTACTACGACGACGACGACGACGAGGCTGAACCCCAAGTCATTCGTGTGTCTTCAAATTCATTCATATGTATTCGAAAAAAAAAAGTCTGCATCTCAATTCCTTCGTTTGTATTCCAATTCATTCGTATGTCTTCCAATTCATCGTATGTCTTCCAAAAACAAATTGAAGCCCAATTCATTCGTATGTCTTCCAATTCATTCGTATGTCTACTACTCCTACTACTACTACTACTACTACTACGACGACGACTACGACTACGACTACGACTACGACTACTACTACTACTACTACTACTACTATTACTACTACTACTACTACGACTACGACTACGACTACGACTACGACTACTACTACTACTACTACTACTACTACTACTACGACTACGACTACGACTACGACTACTACTACTACGACGACTACTACTACTACTACTACGACGACGACTACGACTACGACTACTACTACGACTACGAGCACTACTACGAAATTTGGAATGAAGAAACAAGGAAATATACCGCCCCCCCCCCCACCAAAGAAAAAATAATAATAATAACTGTGAAATAATGGATCCATTTCCTTCGAACGCTTCCTGGTCAGTAACGTAAAACCAAGCAGATTCCAACATGGGCATGTAACAGCATGTAACATATTACTTCCAGTGGACGTAGGTATATAGATCCTCAATGCATTCGTACATTGCTGTGGCAACCCTTGAAAGGTAGCAGCACTCTACCTCTTCGTGCTGCCAAGAAACTTCAGCTGCCAATCTGCAGAATTTGAAAAGCACAAAGATGATAGCACCGTGATGCGAAGCAAATTACTCCCATCTGCAAGGGCTGCTAGCAGCATCGGCACGATTACTGCTGTCCTAGGCTGAGCCAAGGGGAGACGAGAATTTAACTACTGTACAACATAAGGAGTGGAAGGAATATGTAAACCTTCAGAAGGCATTTCAAAAATTATCAGGTCACGATGGCAAGTTTGTCCGGCGCTCAACAGAGCCTGCAGATTTTGCTTCCCAGAGTCATTCCGAAACCAGCTTTGTTTGTGATTGAAATCCATGGAAGAAAGATCTTCTAGAGTAATGTCTTCAGGATTTGATTCATGATTGCTTTCGACAAGGGCTCAACTCACATCGCAGGCAGTAGCGTCAGAAAAGTGTTCACAAAGTCCAAACATACACTGCGTAACATGGCCGGGCGGCTTGCCCTCGCCCATATTGAGCTGAAGGAGCTGGTTCTCGTTGGCACAAATCATTTCCTTCGCAACCATGGCCTGGTGCTCCCGAATGCAAAAGTCATTATCCACCTCTAGCAGCAGCCAGCCTGGAAGGAAGATCAGCAACAATGTAGTTGCAAGAATGACGAATAAGGGTGATGTGATGTTACAAGTTGAAACCGAAAAAACAAAACCACTGCATTGCGGTGATAGAGGGCAGAATCATACAGTGGCGCCCATTGCAGTACTGCGATGACGCCTTGAATTAAAGTTGACAGGAGATCCCACCTGGATACTCACTGGGAGACCACCCCACGCAGCCAGAACTAGATGGCTGCAGCTCCTTTGCCAGCCAAACGCTCATGTCTGGATTCTGCATCAAGCGCAAACATCGTCGCATCCGCTGTTCTGCCCTCAAGCTCACTGCAAAGCTCCCAATGATCTCCTGCCAAGTGACATACTGATCATATCAGCACAATGCTGGCCAAGAGTTGGCCAAGTAAGATATATGAACACAGAAAGCAAACTGTGAAGAAATCAGAAACCCACACATCATGAAACGGTGCGAAAATGGACACGA